GTTTAGCCAGAATTTCCGATTTCTACGTGTTAATATTTTACTTTATTGACTTAATTAATTACTTTGATGTTTCTGACACCTAATTTATTTACGATTTAGTGGAAAAGGTAGGAAAAGAAGGAAGTATGTACAAGGGAGCGAAATGGGCCCCACCCCGCCCATTTCCGTGAGGTCCTGCCTCTCCTGAAGGGAGCTACGACCCCTCCGAGGCCCCATTCCTGGAAGAGGAATGGCGCCTCTAAAAGTAGCCCTAACATTTTAAGACAGAAATATATCTCTTTCTCACTTCGTAATGTCTAGTTCATCTCACTGCGCAAATGCGTAATTTTACTGACCTAACAAGATCAACGGAACTCTAACTTACGGGAATCCGTATGCCTGTTTTTAGCGGTAACCCGGCGAGCGCGCATCTGTTTCATTTACCTCGTGGATGAGGTTGTCCTTTTCGAATTGAACTGCTGGTGTATAAGCCTTACAGGAATGTTGACCCGCCGACATATCAGTGCCAGCCGTAGTGCGATGGAAAGAATGCTGAATATGAAATGGAAAGAATACAAGTACATACATATAAATTCTATCCAGGCTCCATGATATAAATATAGAGCCTTATAAAACCGACAAAAAAATATTTAGCAGTCCGAAATAAAATATATGTGCCACGATTTCAGAGTATGTTATGTTGGCTTATGACCGTTTCCTCCGACGTTAATGAAAGTTTAAATTCTGGTTATCCTATCTTAGAACTATATTTAAAAAATTGAACCAGGCTTAAACCACGTCGGAGGAAACGGGCATTAGTTCTCCCCGTGCGCACTGCTTTATCTCAGCTTTGAATTTTCGAGAGACTTTACAGTGTGTAATAGAGACAGTCTACTACGTTTACCTATTTCCTCACTGTCTCTCTTTATGCGGCCCCTACCGATGCCGTACGGACTCCAGTAGACCTACACAGTGCTACATCTCATTGTCGACGGTTTTCAGGTGGTCGCCATGATATATATAGATATATATATGTAGTTCTGTTGCTGTTGGTGACGCTACAGTAGAAAAAGGCGTACCATACCAAGAGGATGGAGTAGAAATGGCGACGGGATAAAGATAGTATGACGTATCACTGTGGAACTTCCTCTTTCCATTTGCCAATTTACTAGCTGTTTCTTGAGTTGCCAAGCGATGAACAAACTTTGAGAAGTACCTGTGAAGTTCCGTTGAATATATTCAGCAACTAGATATGCTAGTGGTATTATCAGAGTGTCCTTATCGTGTAGGTGCTCGAGTCTGTGTTTTATTGGAGTTCAAAGTAGGACACGACTATGACAAGACGAGCCAATGACAAATGTTAAGACTATGTATAATACGCCTCCACACTTTTGACATATGAATATCCGGTCGTAGTGACCAACTGTCACTGGAGAATGTTAGTCTGTGGTCTTCGTAAGGCTTGAACCGAGGAGATGAGTTGGCTAAGGAGTAGTCCGCTAAGGACTAGCTTCAGTAAGCAGCGTTCTAGAGATTCTCCACCAAAGGATGCTGATCCTACAGCTTGCTATGACAGTTTCCGTAAACACTGGCAACAAACCTATGAAATCATTTTACATACACAGGTGATTACCTTTTTGAATAGTTGATATTGAATTGTATTATAGATTTGCATTCATATACATACTTTGCTTAGCCACCTACTGGAATACCATGTCAGGATGATGTTCTTGGAGTTGTCAATCATGTAGATCAGATGGTAACACTGTTACTTCTAGAACTGCGCAGTGCAACCTCTTCTGATCATCAAAGAAACTCTGCTTCTCCAACACATTCACCATGTTTGGAGCATTTACTAAGCGAGAACTTATTAGATAAACTTTATGAATGGAGTCTGCATACAGGAAGGTAGGCATATATGAGACTATACTTGGATAAAATAGAAGTGATAATGCTCTATCCTTCTGCACAGGTTCAGCAATGCTGTGCGGTTGGAACAGCTGAAGCTTTACGAACTTCTGGTGTCACACAGTGGAACTCTCCTAGCACATGAGCCTGTAGCAAGACCTCTTCTAAGACTTCTAGAAGAATGTGCAGACGATATAATGCCAGTAGAAGTGGAGAAGAAACTTGTGGTTCTATTAAATCAACTGTGTGTGGCTCTCATGCAGAACATGGCACTCTTGGATCTGTTCTTCCACCCTGAGGAGTCTGCGAAGAGCAAGTTCGTTATTTCAATACTATTAAATGAATAATAATACTAGAAATGTACGATTGCACTGAATGTACTAATAACTTTTAGATTCATCATCTTCACTCTACTTATTCCACACATTCATCGAGAAGGTGGTGTTGGTCAGCAAGCTCGTGATGCTATGCTGCTTTGCATGTCTCTCTCTAAGAGGCATGACGAAGTGGGTCTATATATTGCAGAGCATTCTAATGTGTGTCCGGTGAGTACTATGTATCATGAACAATAGTACTACAGTTAGTGCGAGCTAATGTCTTCTCGTAATTCAATAACAATGTATACGGGAATGAATTTATGCGATTGGCCTTTGTTGAGGACACGACCTGCTTGAGCATACTTGAATTAACAGCTTTCACTTATGCAATCAGCAAATATACTATCATTTATATATATTTTTACTCTACTATACTACTAAATACTCGCCAGTATTACTCATTCAATATTTCCCTATCGTTCCTGATACATATTCATACTACCATTATTTTTAAAGCATAAGAAACATGTGGGTAAAGTGATAACATAAGTAACAGGGTAACATTATTAAATGTTTACAAGGTTTCTACATTTTACATCAAGAATAGTTTGTACGCCTTCTAACTAAAGCAGCACTTTTTCTTCGACAGCTTATTTATATGCATTATCTTATTATACAAAATTGAATCTATCGTAACGGTGTATCCTTAATGTTTATGATAAAGTTCGAGCAAATTAAAGATTAAATATGTTTATATTTAGGTTTTAGCTACAGGATTAAGTGCTCTGTATTCTCTGCTACCAAGAAAGCTTGATATTGAGACCGATGATTGGCATCGACTGACTCCAGACGATGTAAACGATATGTCGGCGTTGACTCAGATAATCAATTCCCTAGAATTCTGCAATGCTGTAGCTCAGGTAGCACATCCTCTGGTACAAAAACAGTTGCTGGAGTTCTTGTATCAAGGATTTCTTGTGCCAGTGATGGGACCAGCATTGTTGCAGGTACGTTATTTTACGGCTTTGAATTTGTAACAGTAATGCATTTCATTAAAGGCTATATGAATATGCCAATGCTGCAGATTTATAAAATTGCAATAGCATTTAAATCGTATTAAGGCATTGACCTATTGCGATTTCCATTACACTGAGTCGTGTGTGGTAAAAGAAGGGAATTATTTTGTCTCTGGCTACACACACATTTCATCATTTATCAGCTTTCTTCCATATAAACGCACTAGAAATCACAGAAATACCGATAATAAATCATACAAGAAATTCCTTATGCATTGAATTCGAATAGTTCCAACTTATACTTTAATTAAAATCTAAAATCTACATATTTTAAAAAGTGATTCGACGTGGTCAAAATTTATGGTAATAGGAATCTAGCTTCATGACATATAAATGTATTATAAATATCATTAATGGCGGTGATGGTACTCGTAAAAATCAGTGTTTAAACGCTAAAGAAATAAAAATTAAGATTACTCACGTTGTGGGGCTTGTGGTTGTTGGTGGCTGTCTTTAGTGACACTTTTTATGGTGCTCGTAGGATTCTCTCGGCTTGAGCCTAGAACAGCTAGATGCACCGCAAAACTGGGTTAGTACCAATAATCACTCACTACACTCATTAATATAATAGTTAAAACATTAAAGCTGCTTTATATTTTTTTAAATACTCACAAATCGTATCCGGTTCTCTTATTCTGTATATATTAGTCGGTGCCAAAGTGAAAATAACTTAATGTTGGATATTAACTATTAAGGTGAAATGAAAGTAAACCGTGTGCGGCTTGTGAGTGTAAAGTATCGTTTTTGTCTATCAGCTTTATTGTATGAAGTAAATATTTCATCTATGTATAATTCATTGACATAATTGATTTTTGTTTATTGTTGATTGGCACAGAGCTTTGGATTAGCACGTGGTGTTGCTTTTGTGTAGTGTCATTTAAAAATAATCTCCTTCTTTTACCACGTACTAAAACGTTGTGTATTGCTCTCTTTTCTAAAGTAATTGGATAATTCTTAAGGCAATCTAAATTCTCACAAGAATACACTTTTGTAGAATGAAACTACTATTCAGTTAAGATGGATATGAAAAGCCCTGTATAGTATATATAGAGAAAAAACTCATCATCAGTCTAACTTTATTGTAATATATATAGTATAAACTAAAGTACTAATTATAAATGCTAATATCACTTATTTTGTAACCACTTGTTATAAAAAAATGCAATTGTGTATCACTAACTAGATTTTTATACAGAAGACTAAGCTTTACTCTCTATATAGACAACTGTGGAGGAGCTAGTGGCGGCGACAGCTTACTTCGACCTGTTCTTAAGATCTGTTACGGAACCAGGTCTTCTGCGATCCCTGGTCAGATTTTTACTCGAAGATAATTATGACGAGTGTCGTATACTGGATAGTCTCATCCAGAGGATATCGTCCGTGTCGCGGGTGTGTGATTAAGCAGATAAATTGGAGGAATACGAAAAATTAGAAAAGCTTACAATTATTACAGTGTCTACTATAGAATTTTCATTACCTTTACAGGTCTGTATAGTGACTCTGGCCCTCTTTGAGACCTTAGTTGATCTGAACTGTGAGGACGTCATGTTGGAACTATGCTTTGGAGCACTGAGTCCATGCTCCCATGTAATGCTCTCTCAGCGAAGGAGGCTCAGAGATGTGGACCCCTTTGGTAGAGCAGCTGAGAAGTTTCTGTCTTTGACACCCACCTGTTGTACACCTTTATCCAGTTTATCGACACCGCCAAGTTCCTTGCCCTATATGCCTTCCTCTTCTACCTCTCGCAGAAGAAGCTCAAATTCCACCACTGATGGTTTTAAGTCCTTGCCGATGACGCCAATTAATTATGGCGCTAAATTATCAGAGAGTCTTTATGGAAATTATCATGCCTACCTTTGTGATGCCAGACAGAAGATTGCCAGTTGCCAAACGGCCTGCTCTAACTGGTCCTGTCAGTACGACGGAGAACCACCAGCCAAAGAAAGTAACGCCAGCAGTGCCACCACCCTGGCTGATGAGAATACATTGGTGGAGCAGTCAGTCAAGAGGATAGAGAGTAGCACAATGCTTTCCAAGGACGCGTTCAAAGATACGATAGTTTTGAACGACGTTCTCAAAGATCCATCGATGCAAAACATTCTGGAAAATATTCAATCTTTATTAGAGGATGATGATTTGAATGTGACTAGTAGCAATGATAAGGAAGAGATTGTAACAAAGGTGGTTGCTGCTACTCTCACGCCAGAGGAGCAGGCAAAACTGGATGCAGATATTGCTGAGTTGCTTAGCGAGGATATTGGAATATCGGAACCTGTTGGAGAGACTATAATTTCGGATAAAAAGGAATCAGACAGTGGGATAGATGAGACGAACACAGCAATGAATTCTTTGCTGTCTTTGGGAGAAAGCAGCGGATATGAAAGTTTTGCATTCAAAGGTTCTTCAGAGTCTACGCCAGATAACGAACCTAGCGAAGATAGAATATGTGAACACGAGGAAACGGAAATGGAACCCTCTGCAGAAGCTTGCGTACAATTACATGGGATTACGGAATCAAATTATATAAATACAGATGGATCGATATCAAGTAAAATCATTAAAGAGAGTTCGTACCATCAAGATATTTTTCATGGTCAACCCAACGTGGGTATCTTTTTGGATGTTGTTCTGAGAAAGTTGGAGTGCATGATGAGCAATAACATTTATGTTAACTTACATTTAACTGGACTGCTTAGCAGACTTGCAATATACCCTCAGCCATTGTTACAGTCCTTTCTCTTGAATCATTCGTTGGTATTTCAACCCAGCATCAGATCACTCTTTCAGGTCTGTTGCCATTTTGACTATGAAAAATAATAACCACATATTACATGGAGTAGTGTTTGTTATAAACAAAATTTTTTAAATTATAGGTTCTGGCTTCCTTGAAACACAAGATTGATCAGTTCCTCTCACGTCATGATGACGTTGAGATTCTGGTTGAGCAAGCAAGATCTTTCCTTATCAGTCGTGAAGACAGACTGGTTAATGCTAGAAAAAATGCGCTAGAAGCAGCCGCTCAGGTTGCACCAAATCGACGTAGCTTCACGGCCAGTGAACCATTTTCTAGAGGTATCAGTATAAATATTACTTTAACTGTACTGCATTAACATTGCACGATAATAACTTTCCTGATCATTCCTGTTATGCCTATTGGAAGTATTTAGACGATGTACGTATTATATCTTAAAATCCAACCGCATCTAGAAATAAAATCCTAGACTAAATCTTTTATTCAATTTTTAAGGTGAACCAAAAAGAAGGAGTTTGACGTCATCCCTATCACAAATGTTCAGAAGAACAGGCGGCCATCATTCAGGACCGAATAGTCTAACAGGATCAATTAGTCAATCGTCTAGCATATCGGAAGATCAATTGGAAGTCATCGGAGATGGAACAGGATATAGGTGAGAATAAAAAAAATCTTTATTCCTTATGCAAGAATCTATCAAATTTTTAATTAAATAGATATTACACGAGGACATCGTGGGAGTCGCCGAGTGAAGTGAGCCCTGTACAAAATGTCGTATTATGTGCGGTAGTTCTCGATGAGTGGCTCAAGGAATTAGCAGCCATCACGCAAGAGCACGCTATAGCTTCACTAACAAGCACACCGGAATTCAAGGTTTGAAGGGAACGTGTCTAAACAATCTAACGGAGCAGCTAATGTCACGTTAGTAAATTAAGTAAACGTTTCCCTCCTGAACAGGGTTGTAGATTACCAGTATGTGATACATCGTGTAGGCTTAGAACAAGTTGAAGTAACATGTCTAACGGTAATGAGATAGATTATATGAGCCCATTAACAATTGCAAATGCCAGTTTCACGCAAGAGTTAGAAAGCGTATTTAAATATTTCATTTTTAAGTCTATAAACTTCATAGCACACGGTTCAAGATACTTCAGTTAAATGAGTTTAGCTTAGGTACCCGTTAAAATACAAAAGATGAAAGCCGAAGGAAAGAAGAAAAAAATATATCGACTTGTCACATAGCAACGCGTAGACATTACGTTATGCAGGAAGCAACGTGAGACCTCTTCAACGTAATTACCAGCTAATAGAATTTATTTAAAAACTCTAAGATTCCGCGTGTCTTGCTGAGTGTTGCCTCTTAAAAATGTATTATGTAACATTAGATATTTCTGTATCAACTGATTTATCGCATACTGCCTGGAGTATTATTGATCAATGATAGATTGATTTGGATTTCATTAGAGACATCAGAATTAGACGTGGAGTATTGTGCCAATTATTAACAGTCACTGATTCTATTCAGGAGGAATCACTTTGAAGACGCAGCTGTATACCGATCTTTATCAATTAAGCCTTAATTATTATTAACAGTTGAGCAATTTACAGATCGACCTTCAACTAGAGTCACAACCAAGGCTCCATTTTACAAGTACCATTTTGTTATCAGTGATGCATTGTAAGTGCAGTCGTCCCCGATGGCTACCCATGTAAATAGACGTCTATGATGTAACTTTCATCAGTTTCAAACGCCAATACAATTGATTTTTTTGCCTTATATAAAATAACCCGAATTTTTAGATATGGCTTAGGCCGCGCTTCTTATAATTTAAGTATTTGTACTTAGTTGGGCGAGCCATGTGAATTAGTACGTCTGATACATGTAAGTAGAATCAAGTCTTGGCGTGAAGAAGGTAGATAGTTGGAATAAAAATAGTGAGAGTCGCAAAGAGGTACCTATATATATATTGTCGCACATTAGATTATAGCAGCGTGAACACATTCAAGGAATGCGAATTAATTTAAAAATTAAAATGAAATAGTACCAGCAAGGTTATCAGCCAAGTTTTAAACTGCATTATCATTTTTACGTCTATTCAGTCACTTCCAATATTTACCAGAGAATCGTTTGCTACGGAGAGTCAAACAACTTGCATATCCCTAAGTGTTAACGATTTATCTGCATAATGCGAAACGGATCTTATAATAAATTGCGCGTCCTGACAATTAAGCTCAAAATGATATAAAAAATTAAATCTTCGTGTCCCGCGGAGAATTAATATGTCTTTTCCAAGATGTGCGCGCATAATGCTGTGCAATTTCGATGGGAATATCTATTGGACATTTTACGTGTATCGCGCGACGTGCTCGATATTTGAGTAAAATTTTGCACAATCAAGCTCAATTCAAATTGTACGGAATACACGTAGATGTTCGAGCGATAGCGACATTAGTGCAATTTTTTAGTAATACTTGTGTATTTGCGTAACGCGGTCAGGATTGATGTGTGACCATTGTGCCCGTGTATATACGGTGAAAATGGATTAAGGACGTTTTCTATTCAATTCACTTCACCTTTGAATAACGTCAAAATGATATTTTTGGAACGCTTTATCTTTCGCATTTTAGTATACATATAATATGTCCCAATGTGATATTAAAGTTGCATATTTTTAGAGCTACCTGATAGAGCCATTTACGTTTTCTCAACCGGGTTATGTTTCAATCGTCTTTTCATCTGTATTATACTTCTTTTATAATATTTTACTAATAATCATCAGTCTTTCATTCTATCGCAAAGCAACAACTCGCATAACTTTTACTATGCGCACACTATTTTTCTCGCAAAGTACATTTAACAAGAATTCAATGACTTTATGCCTTCTCTTGCATTAATTATTACCGTATGTATATTGTTTTATCTCTATTTTTCTTTTGTAATGCGAGAACGAGAAGCAGTAGAAAGATTCTACATATATGAAAACCGAGCCAGGCAAGAGTAGTGTTATGTGCAATTTTGCGAAATAAAAAAAAGTAACGAAAGAAAAAAATCATATAAATAATAATTCGCGTTCTGTACATTACGTGTATTATATAATAGAAAATATATTATTATGTTGTCTGAAAGACGTTTAAGAATAAAGTGCAACAATTGCCCAAGTTTAATACTTCTGAAGTACTATTCATTTTTCTTCCCAATATTTTTTCAATTTCTATAAAATGTGGAGGATAAATGGAAATAAGTAACTCTTATCAGAATACTGACAGTCAAGTACCAAATAAGTATAATTAGTTGCTACAGAATGTCAACTAGTTTTTCATGCTTCATTCCTGATTATTGAGCATATCGATTCCGGTTTGAAGTCTGCTTGATAATTAAAGGCAGGAAGAGCCCCTGCGTGGGGTCGACGCCATTTTAGACATCTTGACGTTTGTACAGGGCGGAGTTGTGGAGTACATTTTTCTCGGATATATTATCTTACGGAGCCCTTTAGAGGGTAAGCATACGCGTAGAATATTAAAACAATACTTTTTAATTATTGTAACAATCTTTATTCCACGTAGAACATACTTACTGTACTCATTGTCCGCTTATAAACATAACCTGGGAGAGGACAGTGATTTTAGTGATTCAAGGCAGAATGTTGTTAATTAATATGTATGATTTTTTAACTAGGTTCTGAAAACAAGAGAGCATGGCTACTGATAAAGTAACACTAGGGGATGCTTTATCCAATGTCGATGTTTTGGATGAATTTACTCTTCCTGATGAGCAACCATGCATCGAAGCTCAGCCCTGCTCTGTTGTCTATCAAGCCAATTTTGATACAAATTTCGAAGATAGAAATGGTTTCGTTACGGGTATTGCCAAATATATTGAAGAGGCTACAGTTCATGCAAGTCTGGTAGGTTTCTGAGCTTGGAAGAATCTTTTTTTAAGAATAGTCACAACAATACTTTTATCTACCTTTGTAGAATGAACTTTTGGAGGAAGGCTTGGAACATGCTGTTATGCTGTATACATGGAGATGTTGTTCCAGAGCTATTCCACAGCCAAAATCTAATGAACAACCAAACCGTGTTGAAATTTATGAAAAGACTGTAGAGGTTTTAGCTCCAGAAGTCAACAAACTGTTGAACTTCATGTATTTCCAAGTAAGAAAATAGAAAGGATAAGAGTGGTATGTAAAAGTTCTACTTACACTTATTGATTAAAATTGCGTAATTTTTAGAGAAAAGCAATAGAAAGATTCTCAGCGGAAGTAAAACGTTTGTGCCACCATGAGAAGAGAAAAGACTTTGTTTCAGAAGCATATCTGCTCACATTAGGAAAGTTTATTAATATGTTTGCTGTTCTTGATGAATTGAAAAACATGAAATCCAGTGTGAAAAATGATTATTCCACCTACAGAAGGTATTGGCATTAATTATTGATCTAAGACGATTGAGTTCCTAAGTCAGAGAGATTTATATCAAATATTATTTTAGGGCGGCGCAGTTTTTGAAAGTCATGTCGGATTCACAAACCCTACAAGAGTCGCAAAATCTTTCAATGTTCTTGGCAACGCAAAATAAAATTCGCGACACGGTCAAGGAGAATCTTGAAAAAATACCGGGCTACGAGGAACTCCTGGCCGACGTGGTGAACATTTGCGTTCACATGTTTGAAACCAAAATGTATCTCACGCCCAATGAGAAGCATATGTTAGTAAAGGTTATGGGTTTTGGACTGTTTCTTATGGACAGTGAATTATGCAATATCAATAAGCTTGATCAAAAGAAAAAATTGAAATTAGACAGAATTGATAGAATCTTTAAGAATCTAGAAGTGGTACCTCTCTTTGGAGACATGCAAATTGCTCCATTCAATTATATTAAACGCTCTAAGCATTTTGATGTGTCCCGATGGCCGTTATCGTCTTCCTCTAATAGTATGAGCCCGCAGGCGGACTTGATGGTACATCTGCCTCAAATTCGTGACGATCACGTCAAATATATAAGTGAACTAGCGAGGTATTTACACTCCTTCTGTACAGTTATTAGGATATATATACATTTTTTCAATGTTTTCTACTCTTTTATCTCTAATAGATATAGTAACGAGGTAACTACAACGTATAAAGAATGTGGAAGTGATTCTGAGAACAGAGAAACATCAGAATTAGCACTGAGGGGATTGCAATTACTTTCTCAATGGACCAGTGTCGTTACTGAGCTGTACAGTTGGAAATTGTTACATCCAACTGATCACCATATGAACAAAGAGTGTCCTCAGGAAGCCGAAGAATACGAGAGGGTCAGCTTTTCTGTAGATTTTATCAATTGTAACATGTGTGGATGTTTTCATATTCGATCATAAAACTATTTCATTAGGCGACACGGTATAATTATACGGATGAAGAAAAATTTGCTTTGATCGAAGTCATAGCTATGATAAAGGGTCTGCAAGTTCTCATGGCAAGAATGGAAACAGTATTCATCGATGCTATTCGTAGAAACATTTATGCGGAACTGCAGGATTTCGTACAACTTGCATTGAGGGACCCGTTAAGAAAAGCGATAAAAAACAAGAAGGATCTTATTAGGAGGTTTGTAAAACTTTCCAAAGTACTATAGGAGTGTAAATAACTCTTTTCCTTTCAGCATCATAGTTTCTGTGAGGGAGACTTGCGCAGATTGGCATTTTGGGGTGGAACCATTGGGAGATCCTGCATTAAAGGGAAAGAAGGATCCTGACAATGGATTTGGTATAAAAGTGCCAAGACGAAACGTTGGTAAGTTCAATAAACATATACAAATTATTCACTTCTTAAAGATACTTAATATAGCCTCAATCTACAGGACCATCTTCCACTCAACTTTATATGGTGAGAACAATGTTGGAATCTTTGATAGCTGACAAGAGTGGTGGGAAGCGTACATTAAGAAAGGATATCGATGGGCAATATCTTGTACAAATTGATCAGTTTCACAAAACAAGTTTCTACTGGAGTTATCTATTAAACTTCAGTGGTACGTATCGTCATGCAAAGAATTTTAATAGACATTTGTGATAATTTTCTAATTCAATATTTCTTTATCCACTAGAGTCTTTACAGAATTGCTGTGACTTATCACAGCTTTGGTATCGTGAGTTTTACTTAGAGATGACTATGGGCCGTAAAATTCAGGTAAATTCTATATTTTGAAAAACTAAATGAAAACAATAAATATAAGTCAGGAATTTGTTTGACATATTCCTATCGTATCACTTCATGAGACTCTATCACTTCAAAAAACACGTTCTACGAGCTTGACTGTGACATTTGTGTTCCTTCTACGTAATCACAACTCGCGAGTAATTTCCTTTTACCTTTATCCACCTTTAAAAACAATTAAGCTGCTGCGATTACTATGAAAATAGGATTTTTCTGTGACTGATTTCATGACTAGAAATGCCAAGTGCGTCACCAGCACAATGAGGAATGCAGCGACTTGATCACCATGGAGAAGCGTATTCAGGTATTCGATTCGCTAACCGCCAGACGTTTTAGCAATATTTCTTGTTTCTGTGTTTTGTAGTGCTGTGTGATGGGGATTATGCACGCCTGGGATTTTATGGATTCACTATTTTGTTTTATATTTTCTTCAAAAATATTGATCGTATTGCAAAATATTATATGCGTTCTACATATTATACGACTATTTGATGATTCTATTTGATCTATTACTCGACTATTTGATCATCTAATTATCCAGTAAAATCACCCTATATTTTTTATGCTCTATCATTTTTACATAATTGTTTGAAAAAACTGTGCCAAATGTCCTTAGCGATTCCATTGGATCACGTTATTTTCTAGCTAGCACAATATATCTTGTTATCATTTCTGTATTGTATTTTTATTTTTAAATAATATTTTGTATTCGTGGCATTTACTAACATACGAATTGCATTAATGAGTCAGGTTAAAATTTTATTCTAAACGACCTGACTGTTTTAGTTTCCGATTGAGATGTCGATGCCCTGGATTCTGACAGATCACATTCTCAGAAGTAAAGAACCTTCTATGATGGAGTGAGTAGATTCAAGTATATTCATTAAAATCGCAAGAGGAATATAAACGGTATAATATAATTTGATGATTTCTAATAGGTACGTTCTCTATCCATTGGATCTATATAATGACAGTGCTCTGTACGCGCTCACCATATTCCGCAAGCAATTTCTTTACGATGAAGTTGAGGCAGAAGTGAATCTATGCTTTGATCAATTTGTTTATAAGTTAAGCGAGCAGATATTCGCACATTACAAACAGCTGGCAGCGAGTATTTTACTTGACAAGAGATTTCGCGTGGAATGCGTTGCTCTTGGTGCATATCTACTTCCATATCCGCGAGCAAACAGATACGAGACATTGCTCAAACAAAGACACGTACAACTTTTGGGAAGAAGTATTGATTTAAATAAATTGATCACACAACGCATTAATGCTGATATGCAAAAATCTCTGGACTTGGCGATCAGCAAATTTGAATTTGGAGATATTACCGGTATTGTGGTACGTTGAGAAAAAGCAATTAATAATTAGTAATGAATAGGGATAACTTTTATCTCTTGCCTCAAGGAACTGGATGGTCTCTTACAAGTAAATCGTTTGACGCATAAACTTTTGTGCAAGTGGCTGGCATTAGATGAATACGATGCAATGTTCAGAGAAGCGAATCACAATGTCTTGGCACCTTATGGTAGAATCACTTTACATGTCTTTTGGGAACTCAATTATGATTTTCTACCAAATTATTGTTACAACGCCGCCACGAATAGGTAAATTACACAATTGTATTTTGTACTATTGTACTGTCTAGTGGAATTAGTTTTACTAGTTTTGATAATTTTTTGCAGATTTGTTAAATGTCGTGGATTGCAATTCGTACAACCGGTTCAGAGAGATAAGCCGCCACAAATGTCGCATCATTATCTTTGGGGTAGTAAACACTTGAATTTGGCGTACAGCACGCAATACGGTCAATATTCCGGATTTGTTGGTCCATATCATTTCCGTACTATATGCAAACTTCTGGGATATCAGGGTATTGCTGTTGTGATGGAGGAGCTATTGAAAATTGTCAAACCGCTTATTCAAGGTAGCTTGCTACAATTTACAAAAACACTGATGGAGGCAATGCCCAAGGTTTGCAAGCTGCCGAGATACGATTACGGTTCTCCTGGAGTACTGGGATACTATCACGCTCAACTAAACGACATAGTTCAATATCCTGACGCGAAAACCGAGCTATTTCACAATTTTCGTGAATTTGGAAATACTATACTGTTCTGCCTCTTGATGGAGCAGGCTTTATCTCAGGAAGAAGTCTGTGACTTGCTGCATGCAGCACCGTTCCAAAATATCTTACCAAGGCCTTATTGCAAAGGTATTATACAGATATTAACGACAAATGACGATTGATTTATTAATAAAAATATAAATATTCAGATGGAGAGAAACCAGAGACTAAACAAAAACGACTGGAAGCAAAGTACGCTGCACTTCAGATTGTTCCTAACGTCGATAAATTAGGAACTGCCAAAGTAATTAATTCCATCATATATATACTAATACTGTAATTATTTTCTAATTATCGAATTAATTTTTATTAATCTAGCAAGCGATGATCGCGCGCGAGGGAGACTTGTTAACCCGCGAGCGACTTTGTTGCGGCCTGTCAATCTTCGAAGTGGTACTGAGTCGGTTGCGAAGCTTTTTAGACGATCCTATATGGGTAGGACCACCACCAGCAAATGGTGTAATGAACGTGGACGAGTGTACAGAATTTCATAGACTGTGGAGCGCGCTTCAATTTGTCTATTGTATACCCGTTGGAGAGACCGAATTCACTGTCGAGTAAGTTTTACTGAATAACGAGAAAAAAGTGAATAATCCTAATTAACAATTAACTTCCTCAACTCTACGTTTACAGAGAATTGTTTGGCGAGGGTCTACATTGGGCAGGGTGCGCAATGATAGTTCTCTTGGGACAGCAAAAACGATTTGAAGCTTTAGATTTCTGCTATCATATTCTCAGAGTACAACGCGTCGACGGGAAGGATGAGAATGTCAAAGGAATTGTAAGTATCGTGATACAAACTACAAAAAAAATAATTATCTAACAATGTGTTCACTTACGTGTATCAGCACTTGAAGAGGATGGTGGATCGTATCAGACGTTTTCAAGTATTGAATTCCCAAATCTTCGCCGTGCTCAACAAGTACTTGAAGAGTGGTGACAGCGATACAACCAGTGTCGAACACGTCCGTTGTTTCCCTCCGCCATCACTTGCACATGCACAACAACAACATTATCACGCGCCCGAATATTTACGTCAGGTTAATCACCCATAAGATACGGAGAATGCGCAACCGACGGCGGCCGGTTCGCTACTGTCTATTACTATTACTTAGCAGAAGTGGCGAAGTAAGGGAGGGGCTTACACGCTGCGCTAAACCTATAAACACTGGGCCAAGGGATGTAGGGAAACAAAATGAAAACGTCCTGACGTCTTTGTACCTTGAAAAAGGCAACGATAAGTTGTATTTCAAATGTCTCTTTTTTTTAAAGAATGTATATTCTCCGAGGCGAACTATTTATTTGTTCACCGTTATATAATTTTTTTTCCTTTAATATTGAATCCGATTGTTCGGTAGTATTTAATCATTATTTGAAATTAAGCCTTAAGTATTTATCGAGAGTAAAATAGTATCAGTGAATTAGATTGTATGTATTATTTTTATTACTTTCATTTGGACGAGTCATGCATTCGTGCATGTCGATTCGTTTAATGTAAATATAAGTAGCTGAACAATTTTACCTTTGCCAAATGAATTTTTTTTACTGTTCCGGAGCGAAGGTTCGCACGTTTGTGGCTTATGTCGTGAAAAAATTATGTGGTGCTTTCTGATGATTCATGTATTGCGGGATACTTATTGTTGAACCTGTTAGTATCATTAGATATATATGTATATCACGAACAATTTTACCTTTACTACTACGTACAAATGAAAATTCCGATTTCTATGCTGCAGAATAAGTATAAGAAAATGAAAATTGGACGTCGAATATTTGTATTTCTTTTATTTGTGATCCACATGCCGTTATTATCCGAGTAAGAGCTGGCACATAGGAATGATCAGTAACGAATGATAACGAGAATAAAATAAGATAATAAAATAAAAAATGATAACGAAACTCTCATTGTATGCGTATTTATATGTACGAATCTGCTGTCTGATAATCATCATTACAGCAGATCAAAGATCGGCAAAGAAATCAGATGCATTATCCACTTTACTACTTGGTAAATTATGCTTCATCCGTTTCTGTTTACCACCCTTAACCGGCTCGTGAACGTTCAGCGTTTCGAAGTACTGGACGTTCCAAAAGTGCACGTCTTTATTGTGCGACGAGGATGCGATTAGGGTGCCGTCGTGATTTACATCGATATTTTCGACGGTGAAGTTGTGCTGCCCGACGATGCCAAGTTGCCGATGTGGAAACAAGCTGGATGCTCTGTAAAATATGAAAGAAAATATTAGATCTTTTGGTTGAAAAATATTATCTGACAGACAGTAGGAACCAGGTAGAAACTTATTTACCTAATAAGACCATCTTCGGAGCCGGTGATAACTACGTTTTCCGTTATGGGTATCATACAGTTTATGGCTTTTTTTGTCAGAGCTGGAAATTCATCAGAATGTAGACCGAATTCGCCCCAGTTGAACACGTACATTTTTCCTTTGATACTTGCGGTTAAGAGTTTTGATTCAGTTTTGAACAATCCCAGGCACGTCAGATCTGCACCGTATTCCTCGGACTATCAAAAGACAACAGTACAATTACATTATTGGGTGATAATTTTAACGAAAGTTTATAAGATACTGTTAGATATTTACCTGGACGTGCATTTTCCGTGCTGGCATGTTTATTGTGGTGAGGGTACCATCTCCGCAGGAACATACGAGATACTTGTTATCACTGTTGGTGATCATATCACTGATATAATCGTCCACTTCTTTTAGTGAAAAGACAGGAGTGTCACCACTTTGTCGTAGGTCCCATACTGAAATAGAAAAGGATATGTTATTATTAAAAGATTTTTTGATGGGGGATAATTTCTAGGAAAATTTACATTTAACTACACCAGAATCGTCGCCCGTAACGAATGTATTTTCGTCAAGTATTGTCATTGAATAAACTGAATCTCTGAAACGTAAGTTGTAGAATTATGTGAATGACAAGTTTATCTTGTAATTTATACTATTACTGTAATTATAAATTCTTACTCATGTGAATTTTGATAAACACTTAAAAGTTTCTCAGTCTCAACGTCTGTAAGCATAATTAACTTGTCTCTAGCAGTAGAAAATAGTAACTTTCCATCATGACTGAACTTTATGTCTCGACATGATTTCAAATGTAGTTCCAGGGTAGAAACAAGTTCTGTTTCCTTATTATTATATTTGTATCTGGAAGAAGAAAAATTAAAAATTTGATTAAACTCATTACCATTATGGTGAATTATCCTAGGGGATTATGGATAACTAACAAAAGAACATCGCCAGTCATGCTTGCCAGAGCAATTAGGTCTTTCGCAGGATGAAAGCAAACATCTACTACAGGGTCCTCCATTGAAATAGTTGGCGGGTGATCTCTGTGTAACTCTTTAGACCGCAAAATGGCTTTTACAACTTCATCTTCTTCCTCATTGTCAACTCTGCTTCCTCCTTCAGCAAAAGAAAAAATATTTTTATCAAATAGAAAAATAATGACTGAAAATGACATATACCTACCAACCACACCATTTGATGTGGATGCTTCAATATCATCGTGAGACTCATTTAGAGATTCCGAATCAGGATCACTGACATTGACATCCTCACTACTCTGACTGTCATCACTCATACTAATATCACTGTGATCACTGTCACTGTCACTCAGGAAATAATCTACGAATTTTAAAGTTATTAGTCAAGTAGTAGCAGTACAGAATATTCTAACCTTCATGAAGGAAATGTGGACCTCATGATTTTTCTATCAATAAGTAATATCGAAATGAAGTAATGATAATTACCTTTTAAGTCACCTGTATTAGACCGCATTGTCTTTTTACAGTCGATTTAATACATAAAAGAAAATCAAAATTCTGTACTTAATTTTCACAAAGGCACTTTACAACTTTAATATATAACGATGTGAATCCCCATTGTGTGAGCGCCTGACGGACGAAACCCGTTCAACAAAAAATAAAGTTCAGTCAGATTGGTTATTTTCTACGTTTTCAAAGAAAATATGAATGAAAGGATTTTTATGATGTAAGAAATCACATTATTTATTTATTTATTTCTTAAATTATGCTGTTTGCGATCAAACACGTGTAAATTCACCTAACAATACACAATAAGCGCACATGCTATAATTAAATCAGGTATATCTAATGGTTTTAATTGATTTATTTTCGATGCGAAACTAAAAAAATTGGAAAACCATATGAACGCAACGATTCTTGCCTTCAGTCTGATATTCCAGTATGATTCTGTGAACGACGTCTAATTTTAATTAGAATGATTTCATTGCAAATAAATTATATATCGTGTAAAATTGTATAACGTGTGTATATAGATGTAACTGAAAGCGCTAGACATCTGTAAAAGCACATGATTAATAGGCAAATGTCATTAAAATATGTGTAAAAAGGGATAAACAGCGTGTTTGCTTTTGAAAATATCTTGGGTAATAATAAATATTAGTCATAGAATGACTATGATTCCTTGGTATTACAGATTACCAGAATCTAAGTTGATCAATTAAAAAAAAAAGTGTATGTTCAGGCCGTTTTGCCTTGAATTTATATTAGAATATTCTATAAAGTTTGTATATACGAAAATATCATTAAATATTAATTATAAATTCACAATTCGATTAGGCGTCCTCAGCCAAGTTTTATATCTCTATCCCGCACGTTCACCAGGACCTTCTCCAATCATAATTCATCTCTTCTCGTCTCATCACATACATTTTGGCTAGATCGATTCGTTCAGCACATAAACTAATGGATTTAAATACTGTTGTACAAAAAATCGATCCGATTAAATTTATCTACAAAGAAATTCATTGATTGTACATGGCGTGAAGCGCTAATTAAAAAGCAAAGACATTATATCAGAAGTAGTTCTTCTGATTGAATATTGAAAAACGTATAAAATAATAATAAGTATATGAAGTTGCTCTAAATCAAAGAGCCCATTCATTACTGACACACATAATCGTAAGGCACGATTACAGGGTGCGTACATTTTTCTATATACAATTTGGAATTATAAGTATTGACAAAGACGCCATGAATAAATAGTCATCACAACGGAAAAAGTAATAAGAAAGAAAATAGGTTAACCACGGAGAATACCCAATGCAAGTGGAAAGAATTACATTTGCAGGTGGCGAGTTTTGCCTGATGGCTGAAAGACAAAAAAAAAGTGTATAAGAAACAATTGAACTCTTTCGCCCTTTGATAAAAATTCATATACTCGAGGAATATTACTCTGATTTTGAGTGCTATTGTGATCATTATTCCCTTTAAAATAATATCTAGTGAAGAGTTCAGGAAAATTCTATCAATGCCTGGTGCGCTAGAATCTGAATAATATATCAACTTGTTACGATTCTGGGTATTTGTCATGATCCGATTCGATCACATACGAAACCTACATTTGAATGTATAATCACATATTGTACCAGTCATACACCTAGAACAATAAAAAATAAGTGCTGACCGAACAAGAAGTTTGTGAATTCTGTTTCTATCTACTTCTTTGTAGTTACTTGTGCGCCACAACGGAGAATGTAGATCTCATGATAGATTCGATTAAGAGTCTAAAATGGGAAGCTTCTCTTGTAATATTTCTGATTGAAAAAGTTGTGTCTATCGAACACTACCCAGTGGAAACCATTCGACAGTTTCACTAGTCAAATTCAGACGACCTAATGGTAATCTGATACCACCCAGAAATTCATTTTCTTGAAGGGTATCGTGATTCCAGATGGTAGCTTCCAAAGTTCTCTCCTTAATAACTTCTATTGGCATCCTGTACTCCAGCTAAAATTGAAAGTTGCGTATAAATTGAGATACCCCTATCATATTTATGATACTCATTCCTTAAATCGTTGACTTACCATTTCCATAAACGAGGGATGACAATTTTTCTTCACAACTTTTGTCTTACGCTTTGTCGCTTTCGTCGAGTCTGGCTTCAGGTATACCTTGACATATGTATTTGGTTCTTGGGCATTTGCCACTTTTGGTAATCCGCGAGCATGATAGATCATCACGCATAATGTACCACGAGTATAATGAAGAGATAATTTGATTTGTCCACTCTGACCATTTTCCCTGATCTTCTTCTCCGCCCACCAGTTACCAACTAGACATTGTCAAAGGTGTAAATTAGTGTTCTGTCACACTAATAAGGTATATGATATTATAGTACTGAGTTGTGTAATTACCTTTGACTTTACGCAGATGAATATCCGCGTTTTGCTGATCACGTAGTAGAGGATGAAAGAAAGTGTAGACTAGATCGCTCTGGGATATTTCTGGTGCCATTTTAAACAAACTCACTAAGAATTTTTCAATATCGGCACGCCGTTTGTCTGCCACTTGCTTGATATTTGAACGTCCCACACTCATGCCGCTTGGCAAACTGTGAATAAAAAGAATTAGTCATTAAAATAATTTAATAATGAGCTATCAAGAACCAAGATCTTAATATAGGCTTCGTTATAAAAATTAATAACCTGTAAAACTATTACCATTAAGATATAGTATAAAAAGGTGAAAAGCACTAGTCGCAACAGAGATTAGACATCGTGTGAAAGTTTGGAAGATTAATTAATTTCATTATTATTTCTTATATTAATTAATACGGGCAAAGAGAACAGTACCCTGGTTCATTGTACAAGTTGCTTCTACGCTGCATACAGGAATAATTGCGTTCAGTCGATTACAAGAAAACAAAAAATAATAATCGTGAATTTCAATATATTCAAAACCTAATAAAGTTGAGAAGATAACAATAGCTTACGATTTATCATTCGGTATAATGAATCTAATCCTAAAACTATCATATATCAATCAATAACTAAGGAGTCTCTGGATCCAATCATAATGTCTATATATACAAGATGAAGTAGGTATAGTGAGCAGAAATGCTATGTGCAACAATCGACCAATAAACCTTCAGATAAGGAGGTTTAATACTAGGAGTGATAACAGGTATTGGGCAGCTTCTCAGTTTTCTGTCAGCTTCTATCAGGGTCTGACGATTTCACAATAAAAAGTCCTTGTTAATCTGATTGTTTATTACTAAACACAAAAGTTCGATTTTTCCATTTCCTGGACTCCTGAGTAAAAAAAAAAACGGAAAGAAGTTCCATTGATTAAATTCATTGACACATTAAATATGAAAGTCGCAGTGATGCAGTAGAATAGAAAAACCTTCTATTTCGTGTAATAAGTATCAGTAGCGATTCTAATTTGGATTGAATAAAAGTAACATGAGGGATATTACACAAATAAAACTATAAGCTACAGGCGAAAAGAAAAACGTAGGTAAGTGATTGAGTATTTTTAAGAGAATCGATATACGAAAGAGACAATTGTAATTAAAATGAAATAAATGCGTTCATAATACTAAATAGTGATGACTCTTTATCGAGGATTGCCACAAAATGGTATTTTATCTTAATATTGGTTCCAAGATAACGGACAGAGATATGGATTACGCACTATTTATCAAATCAGCAAATCGAAAGGTACGTGAAGAGTACCTGGACATTGGAGAATACCAGACTATTATATATCGGTGAATTACTTTGTCGCAGGATCAAATTTTCTTCTAAGCCATAAAAAAGGTAACAGAAGCTGTCTTATTCGAAATACTAATCTTAATAGTTCTCTTGATAAAACTCCATTATCTTTTGTAAGCGTGTAACATTTAAACCCACCGGCGTCCTTGTCCTAGTTATATTCCTCATTAAAAATTTATTAGTGACAGAACCAAGTTTTTTAACTGACTGCCATTTTATGCAACTAGGTATACGAATGGTGGACTAACTCAGCATTCTATGGCGTTAATGGTTAATGAGGTGTTTTGACAAAGATTAAGAAAAGAGTGTTATCTAATACGGTGGTGTTACTAGTAACAACAAAAAATAACTATGGGTTTCAAGTGGTTTCGTGCGAGAATGAGAATGAATAGGATGCCATCGCATTCATCAGCCGTGGCAGGATCTTACAAGCCAATGTCACAGTTTGATTGCGACTTGATTATTCCTAATAACAATGGAACAACCTTAGGATCAGTGCCCATGCCCATACTGAATAATCCAATGGCTGGATTAAATAATTCCGATGTGGAGGATGGATTCATGAGGAAATTCTCCAAGTCAATGAACGATTTGATTACCCAGGAGGATATCTATACAGTGAGTACTGGACCTCCTAGACATTTGTCAGGAGTATCTTACACGAATTTATCCGAGCAGAGGGTTGAGGTGGCTACACCAAAGCCAGTGGTAAAATCGCACAAGGCGGAGTACAGAAGGAAGAAGGCGCAGGCGCCGGTACCGAAAATGTTGAACAAATTAAATCAGCCTGAGAATAATGGCGCGCAAGTGTTGGACAATAAAAATCGTGGCACCTATGTGACAATCGATAAGCCACGCTCTTCCCAAGAGAGTGACATTGAAATATGACTTGGAGGAACCTTGTTTTGACCTCAGGATGACTGCGGGTTCCTATAAATTGATCGAGATTACTTTCTGTACATACACCATACATCCTTAGACAGGTGTAATGACAATCTGCTAGACTTATGTGACTATTGTTATATATGCTAGGTTCCTTATGGTATTCAATAATGATATTGCGGATGAGTTTATCATTCAGCGTGTAAAAAAAAAATTCACGATCTTTGCCAGATAAATTGCTACGAGAATTTAAAGCTAGCATATGTTCTTTATCGTTGAATTGGTAAAGCTATACATTACGCAAAATTTATGTATTTAAACGTAACCATTGCCGGACTCTAATAAGAGTGATCAATCATTTTGAGTCAAGTCGTTGTTATTAGTAAGAACATGCATAATCGCTTACCTAGCCACTTTGGCGAGCGGAAAATGAATGCAGAGCTTTTGATAGAATTCGCAAAATTCTTTGTAGGAGCGAAATAGGTACGTTGGGTCAGCATGTCCTTTTCTTTGAATGCGCAGAATGTACATGTAATACTTCTCAGGATCATAGCGCTTCTGATATCCGTGCACTTGGACGCTGGTTAATTGTCCTTCTTGTTGCATGCTGCAGACAGAGAATTTGTCAATTAATTTATATCTTAGATCAATTTTTGGTAATGCTTAACTCTAATGATAAATAAAGGAACTCACGTGTAAGTGCGTGGAATGAAAGACAACAGTTCACCGTCATTATGATCACCTGTAAATCTTAGCTGCGCCAGATTGTGAAGGAAGAAGTTGAACTGCGTGAACCAACTCTTCAGAGAACTCTCGATCATCCTAGCGAATGTGGCAGCAGCCTCTGGATTCGTTTGTCCAGGCAGAAGAGCTTTCTGTACGTAGCTCACAGCATCCATGGTAACTCCAGGAATTCCTGAAGATGTCATCTGCGAAGTCGTGTATTCATTCATTTTTATGCCACTCAATCTCTCCTTGAACTTAATGTCGTTCAATTTTTTATCAATGAGATTCATTCTTCGACGCTTTTCAAAAAGCTCCTCTTGCTCCAGTAAATCGTCCATGATCATTAATCAAGATACTTCTGGTCTCGAGCAAATTAATTCAAATTTTCACTTTTTATCATTTACTGGCACTGCTACTGCACGCGATCTCAATACTGAACTATAAACAGCAATTACAACACTTATGGCTCTTTGGAAATGGCTCTACGTGATAACAACTCATTTCATGATAATGCAAGAGGATAAGTCTTTCCGTTGTGGTTTTGTTGTTTTCATGTGTGGGTAGAAAAGCTTGCTATTTACTAACACAGTAACGGAAGACTGGGAATCACAAGAACATCAAGTTTATCAATTGTATTATATAATCTTTTGTGAATTAAAGGCAAAAAACAGAAGTTGATAATACAGTTGCTTTCGAACATTGGCAACGGCCATTCTAGTATTATTGAAGTTAAAAAAAAGTAATATTTTATATTTCCCTTCGTACGTTTAGGCTTTTAAGAAGTAATCACATAGGCTAGCGTACATCCTGTTTTTGATAAGAATGTATAAAAATAATATTCCAGCTTATGTTTGTTTCGGTACAGTAAAGTTACAGGATAAAATCATTGGGTGAATGGGAATTCGCCGAAATATTAAAAGATACATTAGAAATAGAGGAAACAATACATACCAAACCAAAAAGATGAAGTATGAGATTTCCATGTTTCCGCACAACATTGAAGGCTTGACAACACAAATCTACAAAATGATGAAACTTTGCTGAAGGTTTGTCACCTCCGTTAATAACGTAGGCCATGTCAGATGTGAGCACGAAAGGTGTTCTATCCCTATAAAAAAAAGCAATATATAAAAAATTAATAAAGCAATGATCACAATTAACTGTATGAGAAAGATAGTTGTCGTCTACCTCTTGAAGTTTCCAAACATTTGCGCATCTCCGAGGAATTTTCCAAAATCTATGTGAAACAAATGTCCAGACGTTTTCAACATAATGTTATCATTATGTCTGTCACAGATTCCCAATATATAGGTAGCCACACTGTATCCAGCACAGGAGGCTGTGAAATTCTCTACAGCCCTCTCGTATTCCAATTCACTTGGATTGTGCTTCGCCAGCCATTCCGCTATTGGTCGATCCTTGAAAGATCCCGTGAGTCCAAATTCCACTTGAATTTTTCTCAGGGTTTCAGCATTCGTAACCATTTCGATCATACCCCGTTTATGTCCAGTTGGGACACAGGCGAAGGTAACCATTTTGAGATCAAGGCCTTCCTTTAGCCAAAGCTTATCCATTATTCGTACCATTTGAAGTGTCAGCATATCTTGTTGTAAATCATCTCCGACCTTGAATATAGCTGGGCTTATCACGTTATCCGAACTGATGAAATTTATTTTTAATGGCAGCGTAAATGATGGAAAATACGAGCAGGTCTGAACATTGATACCAAAGACTTCTCGACTTGGAGATAGTGGCAAACAGGTGCCATCGTCTTCCATGAGTTGACAGTGTATATTCTGCAAACCAACTTTTAACGCATCCATTCTCAAAGATTCCTTAGTGGTTTTAATGTTTTCGGCAACTTCGTGAAGATTCTATTGAAAAAAAAAAGAAAGATGTATGATTACTATCAAACGAGTCCAACGAATAACATTGAGGAAGGTACCTTGACGAGTAACTGCTGAGTGAGAAAACTATTTCTCAAGGAGTCGCCGATAGCTGCAAGAAGGGCTCGTAACATTAACTGCAATCTTCTTTGGTAGCGAGCATAGCTGATGCTTTTATCGTCCTCAGAAGGTAGTTCAGCGGAATTCTGAAAATCGAAGTATATCTGTCATTCTTAATGCTGTGGATGTACAGGGACTTTTATAGTGAAAGACGTGAAGTGGAAGGTGATGAAGAACTTAATACAATATACTAGCAGTGCAGCTCTTAGAGACAGCAAAGTCAGAGGTAGTAAGTAGAAAGTTAAAGATTTGATAGGTAGGTAAGTAAACGTGCGTTGCAAAATTAATAATGTTACTGAGGATGATCACCCGACCTGTACCTGGGGACTCTGTCCCGGCAGTGCTTGGGTCAACAGCCAGTAAATATGATGAGCGACTCTTGGTGACAGAAGAGCTCTCTCAAGAAGAAATCTAGCGAGTGGTGAAGCCTCGTATGTTTCGTGTTTCAGGGCTTGGAGTAATTGCGGCAAATAGTCCGTTAATTCGTCATTAGTTAGTTCGCGAATCCATCCTACAGCCATTTCTCGCACTTTCATATCCGGGAAGCTAAAAATGAGAAAATTTTAATGTGAAGCTAACGGAGATAGTAGGGACAATTATTTCCCAATTAAGGAACTATAAATAGTTTACCATGGTAATAATAATTGAAGAGCTTGGACGGGTGGTAATGGACTCCATACTCTTAGGGATGCATGAAGATCAGGTAAGCAGGCCCAGTCCCAGCTGTGTGCTGCCAATAGTACTTTTGGTAATGCTTCCGGTCTGTCGTGCAAGTAGTGTCTTTTCTCCCACAAAATCTCCCTCTCATCAACAGGTGGTCTGTAAATGAAATCATATTTTTAAGAGAACGTGATCATTACGGTCTAAATTAAAAAGGATGCTTCACCTGGAGAAGGTATCCTGTTGTGTAATGTCTATCAGTAATTCCTGTGTGTTTTGATCAAGAGAATTAAAATCGAGAGACTCAACGTCGTGATCTCGAAGTTCTGTGGGAAAAAGAACACGTCCACCATAATCTGGCAATTCTAAACCAATAATGGGGTGTGTATCACCATGGGGATGAATACCAGGAGCTGGTGCTGGACCAAGTCTCTTATCTGCGATAGCAGGCCAAAGTGATAAGAAATAACTACCCTGGCTCATCACCCTGGAAGACAAATAAAATTGCATATTTTTATTCAACTATTTTATTCTTGGAAAACTTACCCATCGTAATCAAAGAACTGTATGGCACCCCAGCCAAGTTCTTCCTTCTGCATTGCTCCCTCATTGGAGGCATTTGATTCATGTTCTGTGGGTTGTAATGTGCGACCATAAAGAACCAGGACGAGTCTAGCTTCTCTAGGAACTTGACACACACTGATTCCACGAAATTCCAACCTGTTTCAACCAGAAATTAACGTAAACGTATTTATTATATTATAATGTATGTAGTATCTAACGATTTATTCATACCATGTATTAAATAAAATCCTGGGATAAAAGTTAGAGCTAACTGTCATGGGTTCTGAGAGTACAGGATTGCCAACGGGTCTTGTCCCATGGAATATTTGAGCTGCTACGATGTAGTCATCGTGTTTCCAAGATACAGGTAATCGGTGCAGTGCGCCAACTCTAACTAGTACAGTGTCTATAACTTCTGAGGATACCAAAGAATCTGCGTAACACAACAAGAAAAACTGGTGTCAGTATTTTCTAAATTAAAATAAATTCTATTGTATTATTACATACTTGTTGGAAATTCCCCTCTGCTATTCAATTGAAAGTCCACTCTGAAAGCGTGACAATAAGTTTCTACTAGATCTTGAATGGCGTCCCTGATGTTGTAGCAGTGAGACGCTATGACTTCAGGAAATTTAGTCCGAAGTGTGACAACCGAGTAATCCCCATCCTCGTGCAATACCTCAGGTTTCTTGCACTCAATATTCACAGTGTGAACTTGCGGCAAAAATTGACAGCAAGCATTTACAAAATTATCAACAGCCTCAGTGATCTCATACGTCTCTACTCTTCCCATTAGGGCGCAAATGGCTTTCACTGCCTGAACGACACCACGTGGTTGCAATTGTGGTAAGAGACTAGAACTGTGATTAGTTTTAGCTAATTGTATCGATGCCGTTTCTACCCTCTCCATTTCCTTTTCCACGGTTTCCAATAAAATAAGTAACGTATCATAAGATATTGGTTGTAACGGTTCATTGGGTAGAATATCCTCCAGTTTGAGACACTGATCACGGTTGTCATCTTGAAGCTTTAATAAAAAAATCACCATTATTACACACAATTAATTTTGTTGTATCCTATCCTATATTCCACTTTCTTTACTAACCGTACGAGCAAGGGATCTTTTCATTTGTACTCTAGTCATAATAGCTAACTCGATATCCTTTTCTAGTTTGATACACTGGTGTATATATTCATATTGTGCCAGGGTTGTATTAGGTGCGAGATATTCAGCGAAGCCCCAAACTCTCAGACAATATTTCTCGACGTTTACTGTATCCTCGTCTTCAAGGGAGCAAGCCACGTTAAGAATAACGTGTTCGACGCTGCAGTTCACTGAAGAGTATAGACATTATAAGTTCGACTATTCAGACACTTGTGAATTATAGAGCATCGATGATCGACTAAAATTAAACTCACCGTCGCAAGTAAAGGATATGGACGGAATGGGCTCTTGATCGATACCTGGCAGTTGTGGATGTACGACCAATTTTATGCTAGTACCCTCAGGATATAAATTCTCCATCATCGGGCTGACTACATGACCGATATTGGTACTGGGATCATTAAATGGAAATTCACCTGCACCAATTAAGATTTTGCTTTAGAATAAATTATTATTGATAAAATTTAATTATTGAGCGTTTAAGCTGTCCTACATACCTCGTACGGATTTGATCATTTTGTGAAACGCCTTCAGATCACAATCGAGAAGGGACGCACGTGCCTTTACAACTGTTACGTTTTCGTACAAACGCGTTTGTCGTTTTTGCTAGAAAAGAAAAACAATTTCATGCATTAACTTGTGGCTTATTATTATTCAATTACCATAAAGTAGGTTTTTCTTATTGACACTTACTCTACGGTCCAAGGATGTTCTTCTTCTTTCTATGGTATTCCATGCTGAGGAATTCCTTGGTGGCAGAGGAGGTGGTGCAGCTGGTGATACAGCTGGGGACTTGGCAGATTTCTCGACAGCAACATAAACTGGATCTGAATTGACACTCGCATTTGTGCTGTACATGTAATCAAACGGATCAAATGGATCATATACCGAACCACTAAACTGAGATTCAGTATCTGCAAACAGAATAAATGTATAGTTATAGTATAGTAATATTCATTTGATAGTTATCACGAATTCTTACACTTGTGAAAAAGGCATATTAGGATGGCTGTAATGAATATAAGAATTTCAGGAAATTCAAGAAAATCCATTGAACTAAATAATATTGTGCCAATTTGTTGAAACGTTCTGTAGTCACTGAGGTACCATTTATAACAGAACAGTACATTGCAATTTCTTATCTTGTGATAAGACTTGATTACTCATGATTGTTATTTCAAGCTTCGTAAAAGATAGAAAAAAGATTCATGCGACTAGACTGTCTTACCATCTCTGTATCCTTTATTCGCAGCAGCATTTTCTTCTTCAGTCTTCACCAGCAGAGGATCGAATGCTTCCAGGACGCTGACCCGAACGTTTGTTTTATCCTCGTTTTGCTCGAAAGTGCTTAGATCTATAAGATTACTATTTGTTTTTTTCTCCATTACTTTTAAAACGCTTAGCTGCCCATTGTCCACTGCATATGAGGATTGTGAAACGTTGCTGACTGGTGGTGTCGTACCAGGTCGATAATTCATAGGCAAAGGAGGAATCTGAAACAATTATAAAAACTCAATGAAATCCTCATAGAGTTTCGATATTAATCTTCTATTGAAATTTAAATAAAGCAGTAATGACGTCGATTTGCACACACATTCATACTCAGTCACATAACAAGCGCACATCCCATTTTTGCGATGGCGAATGGGTAAGAGACATGTGCCTAAAAGTGTACCTCTGCGAAGAAATAATTTCTAAAAGCTATGAGATTCCAAGCAGGCTGGAATAATAGAAACTGTATTAGAAGATATAAATTTCCTAAACAGCTGCCGCTATGGTATCTCGCGATATTCTTAAAAAATTTCTAATGCTATTAGGATAAATCACTTGCCTGGGGGACACTGTCGGTGACATTACTGCTAACACTACTTGCTCTTGACATTACTGGACTAATGCCTGGTGTTCCTGGTGTACAGGGTGCTGTTGATGCTCTTGGTCCAGGTGAGGGAGAGTGATAACGAAAATCTCTCGAATGATATGCTGCTGCTGAACTGTTACTTCTCGTTACCCTCGAAGGTCTCCTCAGTAAAGCAGGATGGGTATCCCATTTTGGTTCGACAGGTGCTTTTCTGCAAACAATATTAATATTATAGTGAAACAAAGAAATGATTGTTGGATGATAATTTAAGATTTTATTATACATACGGGGGCGGCGGTGGTGCAACAGAACAATATTGCGCAAGATTGTCCTGCTTTACTGGACTTGTAAAATTAATCAAATCCGTGGAAGGCACTTGATTTGATGCTGCTGAATTTCTTCTTGATGGAATCGGAGGAGGTGGCGCTATGATAGCAGTAGTTTTTGATTGCCCTGTATTGAACGAACCAGGCCTCGGTCGACTTCTAAGCTGGAACCTGGAGACAAATTATATTTCCCACTTATAGTATCCCTTATTTCCAAACACTGTATCATGAAATCTTAGTCACCTACTTGTCTCCAGTTGCAGCACCATCTGTTTCTAATGTACCGCTGTTACTAGCTTGTGTAGTATTCTGCGGTGAGTAAGGTCTCTGCACATGATTAGTATGCTCAAGTTGTTGTTTCTGCAATTTAAATTTTTCCAAGGCCAAACTTTCCAGGCTTAAAGCTTGAGCACGTTCTAAGTCTTCTTGAAACTGTCTATCGTAATCAATCACCGCTGGTCTCTGGGTGTGTGTGTTTCCACCGTAGTTGGACATCTGTAAAAGAATATACATATGTTCTTCAAATTCCAATAGAATTAACAATGCACAAATAAAAAATATAAATTAAACTAAATTAATATTAACCACAGCACAATTAGAATGCCATCAAGTTTAATATAACCATTACAAAAATAAAGTGTCCCTGCTACATTGCCACTACCTCAATCACTATGAGTTAATATCGAGCAGCTGTGTACACAGGCAATAAAAGAATTTTCTTCGAAATTGCATGAAGGCAAAATCGCTTACCGTTATGCCACATAGATTCACAAAGCATCCTCAAATGTTTGGGCAATCCCACACAAAGCTATAAAGCCTTCCAATAAATATATGATTACAGGAAACGCGAGGAGCAGTCAGTGAAATATACCGGAGTAACCATATTCCGAAGTTCAACAGAGTACAGTATTACAACGATAAATAAGTAGCAGGACTGATTTTGGAGTGGTGCTGGACTGGCAATAACGAAAAACTTCTCAGGTGTGGATCAACAATTCATGCTATGTTTACAGTATCCAAGACAGCGTCGCGTGCTCTGATAAGCGTCGGGACGTTCAGGCATTATGTGAATCCTAAGCGAAGAAAAAAGCTCCTGTCATTTTCGATGGTAAAAGTAAGCAGACGAGGAAGTATGAAGGCTTTTTTTTAAATCCTCTATCTATAACGTGATATTGTTTTTTCGTTAAAGTTGTCTCTTACCCTGGCATTATTGTGATGAAATATTATGAATAAATCCACGTACAAACATGGTTAGGATATCTTCAGGGGCACCGTTATTTCAGAGACGTGACATCTCCAGATTTACGGTTCAACAGACTCGTGTGTATTACTGTGAACCAACTGCTTTGAAGTAGTATAGTATGTATTGAAGTTGGTTACGCTTTGGAGCAAGCCTGAACAGTAGTGCGAATCGATGGTCAAAACTCGAACTATACTAGCATCTCTGCGTCGGCAATATAGATCAGTTTGCGCGGAAGCGCTTAACGAAATAGATGGATATTTTTGGTTGGAAGAATGTTTCTTTTTCTTTTTTTTCTGATGGCTAAACCTAAACAGGGATTATTTCCATAAACTCTATTTACAAACAATACATAAATCCCATTACATGTAGGCTTAACGGTGTTATTCGTACCTGAGAACTTATATCAATAAACTGCTCGATAACGTTACATAGCCAAAGAAGTCTTTAATTTAATACATTTGCTTATATATCTGATACCGATAGCTTATGTTAATTAAGTAAAGCATAAATAACGTGTCATGACATCGCGAAGTATAATATTGTACGTGCTCGTGAGGTACATAAACCTTTCCATATTCATATAAACAGACTATGTATATCCCAACGACGATTAAAATTTAGTCATCGCACGCACCATTCTTATGATTTTTAACTGATATTAAGCAGAACAAACAATCATTTATCCATTGCCAATAGACACAAAACTCCTTTGATTGGTTTAGAATATGATAAAGACATACTCCAAATAGTATTGAACTATTTTGACTTCCAATTCTTCAGAGTTATTTATTCCAATGGTGATATCTTCAGCCAGAATCCGCCTTCGCTTGTAGTAACGAGGCTGCGCTTGCTGAATTTAATAGGAACCGTCGTCTTTTCGCAGACTTCCACACGATGATTCTTCACGAATGAAATGATGCCAACCTTCGTCTGAAGAAGCGCGAACCGCATTCCTGAAAATTAACATAGAGTCATACCATAAAAGTATTGTTAAATCATAAAGCGTATACGATAATCAAAGTACAATACGAAGCGGCTTGTCATTAGCTGCTGTCATCGGCGTGGAAGCCAGTGATCAAGAGTTATTGGTAACATGGAAGTATATCATTAAAAAAAAGTATTAAAAAACAGCTTAACAACAACCTATACAGTTTCTTGGACCTTCGCCGAAAGGAAGATAAGTATAGGGATGTCTAGTTCGCTTATTCTCATCGGTAAACCGTTCCGGAATGAATTGTTCCGGATTAGGATAATGATCCGGGTCATGATGCAGTCCATAAGTAGGAATGACGACCCGCATCCCCGCAGGCAGTTCAATCTTTGTGCCCGGTACTTGATAAGGGTATTCGCACCTCCTCGACATCAACGGTGCTGGAGGATACTTCCTAAGTGTCTCTGTGGAATAAAAATAAAATTGCATTTGGTCATAAAACCAACGTTTTATAATATCGTGACATATGTATTACCTTGCACAACCATGTCCAGGTATTTCATCTCTTGTATGGAGTCATAATTGAGTTTTCCATCATGCTTCTCAATCCCTTGTAAAATGTCTTCTCTAAGTTTTTCCTGAATCTGAGGATTCAAGGCCAATTCGTGCAGGCAAAAGGATATTGAGGTGGAGGACGTCTCGTACCCAGCAGCAAAGAAGACAAAGGCTTGGGCTGCTATGGAGTTCTCATCCAGAACTGTAATTGAAAAGTTTAAAAAGATACAGATCTAACCAGTGAGACATGGATTGTTATATGACTGTTTCTATGTTAAGGATAATTTTTCTAGACCTTATGATTCAGAACTGGATTATATTTATGATATTGATATAGTATAAGGATTCAGGCGCAATGTGTGGTATCGTTAATTGCGTGGGATGGTATGCATTTTCTATCCAAGCAATAGGTTAATGTCCGCTTAGGAGGTCGGGGTGAACGAGATAGCGAACAAGTTGCATTCGCGTATTTGTAAATGCTCTTTGAATACATCTGATGTCTTTTGAAGTAATTAGCTGATTGATTTTTCTGTATTAATTGCGTAGTGCTTATCATAAACTCCGTTGTTATCTTGTCAGTGATAATATCTTGAGCGTGAGCGATTTCATGTACAGTGATAATCGCTGTTTGAGAACAGCCAGTGTAATTGCAGTGAAAGTAGATACTTATATTAGTCGAGTTTCGTTTTGGTGAGCTAAGGCGACTGGTTGACGCTGATGATTCTGAGAGAATGCAATTGCAAATTGTAACGATAATACATCAGATGGATACTTTTCATTATTCAGTCTCTGCCGTTACGTTCAATTATTTATTTTTGTGCATGAAATACTATCTTATCAGCTTGTGTTATTATAAAATCGGTGAGAGAACTTGTTAGAATTGATAATAGTAAACATTGTGACCCGTCTACTGTATAAAATTCTCATACTCATTCTCATACAGTAATAGGTTTATCCGGTTGACAGATATTATTACTGTTAGTTACACTTGAGATTGATAAATAATTCGTGGAAATGCTTTTAAAGATCTTCTGATGCGTCAGTCTAATTAATTAAAATGTCAGTATCGCATACCTTAGAATCAGATAATCTGGCGCTTATGAGTGGTACTAATATATTTCGATTAATCCACGAGGTATAATAACGTACCAATGTCTTTAGCAGCCTGAGCATCCTCTTCGTTCAGTCCCTGTGTACTTCCATTATCGCCCTCTAGACTACCCTTGTTCTTCAATTCTATCAGTAGATCCATAAAATCGTGTCTTTTGATAGTGCTCTTTTCACGTTCTCTTATCATCTGCGAGACAACATTCTTGAAGAACGTGGTGACCTCAGGGTGAATTACTTGGACCCCCAAGAGTTTATAGAGTCTTGGCATTGATGTCCGAAGCATCCTCCATAAAGTGGTCTTATAACTAGGTTTTGAAAGCTTACTAGCCATTATCCTGAACTCGGAGTCTTCATTGGCCAGCGCGTTGATTTGTATGCCGAAGGCACAGGAGCCAATGACGTCTATGGTGAATTTGGCAGCTAACTCACGCACCTCGACAGGTGCGCCAGTTGCAGAATGCCGGATGAGCTTCTGAAACTCCTCCGAGCATTCGACCAGGAGGTAGAACATGCGTTTGATTTTTCCAGAGGAGAACGTCGGAGTCAACTTTGACCTGAGACCTTTCCACTTCTTTCCCTCTAGATTGAACAGATGTCCCGATAGCGGATCCTGTGTATTTACTGGTATCCCACGATTGGGAAAGCAGCTGAAGTCCTTGACACAGACACTCTTTACCAGATCCGGATCCCTCAGGATAAATATAGGGGAGCGTACGCGATAGACCCCAAAATATCTCTCATTCTTGAACCAGTTGTACATGTCGTATATGCCGTCTTGCTGGGATTTTTTGAAAAGTAGCAACGGCCCAAAATTTCCCAGTAGGAGAGTGGGTTTTCTGTATGGCACGCCATTGTTAGCCCAAAAGTCAAAGGTCGCAATGAAGTAGAAATAAAGGACTCCAATTAAGAATCCAGTCAATAGGAAGGGGTCCAAAAATTGATTAAATATGTCCATCATCTTCTATTATTAATTATAGATCCAGGATAAAATACTGTGTACAATATCCTATAGTACGATATCCAAAAATATCAGTCTTATATTCTCACGCAGGTCTCCAAACAGTCTATCTGACAGACGTCATGGTTACGCCCGTTATTTCCTTCTAGCTTCGCAGCAGATTAAATTCCAATGTACGCCCTCTTCATATAAAAATATCTCTTTTTCAAATTTATGTATGAATGCCACTCGAGATTACAATACCTCCTGGTGCCAGGAACTCGTCACTTCACATTAAATAATTACAAACTGTGGGTTGTAGTGTTTATAAAAATATATATACAAAATCACTATATGTATTACACAGTCAATATCTTTAAGTAAATGGGCACAAGAAGGTATGCAGCCGGTGTTAGGACACCGTACGAATTTTTCGAGGTTTAAAGTCGCGGACGGGACAGGACGTCTTCTTTGAAAGACTCGCCTCCCACCGACTGGAAGTCAAGAAGCAACGCATGCTTTTATATGTGAGACCTCGCACCAACTACGAGACACGTGGTTATCTTTCTGAACGAAACTCTTCTTCCTTTTTTTACTTACGTTAGAACATCGAATATTTCCTCTGACTAAGAAAGATAGACAGATAACATAAATTTCTTCATTTTTCTATCTTTTATCTGCTTATTCCTATTCGACTATCGAATTATGAGTGTCTTCTCTCTGAGGAAAAACAGATGGATGTATTAGGCATATAAAAGATTATTTTTCACTTTAGTATTTGTTTGTGTTATTACATCTAAGAAATTTGTATGGATGCTAGAACATTGTCATTTTATCATTGCGTTCATGCTTACTGCAAGTATTTGTGGGATTGGTAACTTGGATAAGTCAATCTATTGCTGCGTTACTATAGATAGTTATTATTTAATTGATGATTAACTTTCGATTATTGGTATCAGATACTTATTATTGTAAAAAACCATCTGGTATTGAAACAGATTGGCTATTGACCGCATGTAAAACTACAGATTGTCTAGATTGTTAGGTTTCAAAACAGTGTACGTATATATAATAAGTGTATCGATTAGTTATGTTATTCAAAGTCACCAAAGGATTAAGTTACATCATTACATATAATTATTCAAAGTTTTGATAACGTCACGACCTAGCAAGTAAAAATATTCTTGTTTACATAAAGTACTTATACTGATAACGCATTACGAAGACACAAGCAGCTAATTTTTTTTAGTTGTGGTCATTGTCGGATAATGTCAAGATGATTACAAGAAAGGGGGTCAAGGATTGTACGATGCGATTTCATGACTGGGAATCTAATTTAAATTTGCCTTCTACGCTTTATGCTTGGAATTACCTATCTTTTATCTGTAATAATATTCATGTTAATGTTGCGTCAATGTATACAAACTTCAACAGTATGCGCTATTTTTAGACGTAATATTGATAATGAAGTGGATCCCTCCAACCACTCTAACACTCCATGAAGCAATCGATATCATCAAATGCGTATGAGTCAAAGTAAATGACGTTTAATATCCAAAAGTGTATAGATCTAGTCCCTACTAAAATTCGTAATACCGATGAATATACGTAGCTATTGGGTTTAATAAGAATGTCCGTCCAACAGGAAATAATAAATCTCCATTTCATAACAACACAGTGGTGTGAGATTAGTGCCGTGTTTTCGTGGTCATTAGTTAGGATTCGGTAGCTTAAAATAGCTGTTCGTGACTGTAGTATATATTAAAATCTAGATTTCATGATTCATCGTGATTTTATAGTAAGACGCATTTTTTAAAACTTGAAACAATGGGCCAATTTACAAAATGTATCTTTTATTCTATTTAAGCCATTAAAAAATTATGTATAAGTCATGGCGCATACTTATGTGCTAGGCGAATGTCCATTTTTGATTTATTATGAACAACTCATGAATCTTGTTCATCGTATGTGATTAGGTTTGACTTATAAGACTTTCTGAATATGAAATATAAATATCATTATTCAGGTATATAAAGATAAAGAACTGTACGCTTAGGCGCAATAAGTTCGAATAAGACGAGCATTATTGTGGAGATCGTAATCATCTTCAGGAAGATTCTCTGCGCGCTTGGCGCGATGACACATTTTCAACCAAATCCCAGACTTGCTTGTGAGAATATTTGCAGTCGGATCATATTTAATTGGCGAATTCATTTTGGAACTTGGTAGCACTTTGTAGCTGGATAATAAGGCGACCAAACCAGCTTTTGTCTGCGTATATGCGAATCTGGTTCCTGTTTATTAACATAGTAAATAAAAAAGAAAAAAGATAAGAAAGAGTACGATAATTATCACGAATGAAAATACACTTATGGATAAACACTTTATGTGACTGATTTTAAAAATAATATATTGACCTATATGCAATTAGCGTTTAGAATGGTCATTTACAGAATATATGAAATGTGTTAGAGGAATGCGAATACACACGTGCCTGAAAAGTATGTCACATAAAAACATGCGTAAAATATTTATTATACCATGTTAATGGATAACAAGAGAATTTTTAGTAAAACCCTGATGCTTGCTTTAGATGAACATTATCGGTAATTCCTGGTGGTGATTATTCACTGATTCGAAGACAGTAATATTAATGAAAAGCAATATGTGAATGACTTACCGATACATATTCGTGGACCTTCGCCAAAAGGCAGGAACGTGCAGCTTTCACGGGTTTTACGATTTTCTTCTAGGAAACGATCCGGATCGAACACTTCCGGTTCTGGATAATAAATTGGATCGTGATGTATGGCGTAAATTGGTACAAGAACCTTTGTGCCTGTTTCTATTATTGTTTCTGTGCCTGGAATTCTGTACGATTTGTTGCACATCCGTGGTACCATTCCAACTGGCGGATGCTTCCTCAGCGTTTCTAAATAAGATTAATGATAAACTTTTTTCACTAATACACAGTTAGTAATTATCTTTCAATTGATATATCTAAAAAGTCGATAACTAAGTTTGCTGATTTATCAAAATGCCTATTTTACTATGTTTACAATAGGCATTTTATCGTTGATTAAATACAAATAGATTAGACATGCCCGTATATTCTGTGCTGTGCGATTTAATATGTACAACATCATACATACTGTAGTTGATACCGTTAGTTTAGCAATGACTGTTTATACGAGTAAACGAAGTAATGACTGTTTCCACTCACAGATGGCAGCATTCTCAATGACGCGTCGGTATCTCTTACTCGTGCGACAATTTACACGCAACCAGATAATATAGGAATGCTTGGTCTATTTATCTTCAGTCAATCATTTTCATCATATGATAAGATTATCGGCTTTCTATTATAAAGAGATATTCTGACGATATGAATGACGGAAATTCCGCGAGAGGCACTTATTGAACATGAATTAAAAAACTTGTATTTCTATATAAATTAATAAGATTTTGCAATTTACCCCGAATCACACGATCCAAATATTCCATCTCTGATACAGCGTCGTAAGAGAGACGTCCATATTTTTTTAATGTTGTTTCTATTTCCTGATAAAGTTTTTCTTGAATTTTTGGATTGGATGCTAATTCGTACATGGCGAAGCTCATGGTGGTTGAAGAAGTTTCGAAACCAGCAAGAAAAAATATGTAAGCCTGAGCAGCAATAACCTTGTCATCTATCACTGAAATAAATTAATAAATTGAAACATACGGATATTGTTTTTTTTTTCAATACAAAACTTTACCTATATCAGGATCTTTTTGAAAATCATTCCCTTTCTGAATTCCACGCTTCTCTTCCTCTTCTTTGAAATCTTCATCGTTCATACGTTTTTGATTTTTAATTTGTACAAGTAGTTGCATAAAATCGTGTCGGAAGACATTACTGTGCTCACGATACTTGATCATGTCTTTGACCACATTCATAAAATATGCTGTAACGTCAGGAGGATTGAGGCTCATTTCCAGCCATTCAAAAATTCCAGGCATGTACATCCTGACGAGTCTCTTGAGAGCGATAATCAGTGAAGGATCAAGTACTTTTCTACAAACTGCTCGAAACTCAGAATCCTCATCTTGTATTGTATTAGTCTCTAGCCCAAAACAGCAAGTAGCAATGACTTCTGTAGTGAATTTAGCCGTTAAATCACGAAATTCTACGATTTCCTCATGATCGGCATATTTACAAACGAATTCCTAAAGATAAAGGGAACCGAACGTGATAGCCATATATGTATAGTCACTATAAATATGTCGTAAGTACATCCAATCAGTCGAACCTTGTACTTCTGAGATGACTCTGCAATAAGATCAAACATATTTCGAATCTTGACTGACGTGAAGGCTGGTGTCAATTTCGTACGCAGTACCCGCCATTTTGGACCCCACAGGTTAATCAGATTAGCACAAAGTGGATCCACGTTCTCATTCATAGCTATTCCTCTCCCTTGAAAGGTTCAGGGTTTATCCCATATGAGAATCACTCGAGTTAATAGGCATTGCCAGAAGCAGGAAGATCCTTTGGCTTACCTTGAAAGTGTACATAGTCCTTGACTATAATGTGTTTAATCAATTTCGGATCCCTCAGAAGAAGTACGGGAGTCCTTAATTCGTAAATTCCTACGCAACTATGTCCTTCGTACATCCTATAGATGTCTCGTAAACCTTCTCCAATGGTGATCCTCAGCAGAGTAATGTCCTTAGTGTTGCCAAAAAGAAGACTTGGCTCAGGATAGGGAAGATTTCTTGCACGCCAATAATTATAATTGTATGTTAGGTAGTAATAAATAAGTATCACCGTCGATCCAATTATGGAAAAGAACGTTAGTAATATCGGTAACATTTTAGAATTAATATCTTTGACATAAAGTAGAGAAGCACTTGACTCGACACTGTAAAGGATATTTGTAATCTGAGTCCTGCTAAAGACTGCCTGTTCTCTCTAGCGACTTTGATTATACAACGTTTAATGACTTCCAGCTCAACGTATCAGGAAGTGCGAAGAAACTGTAATGGTGGTTTAGAAACCGCGTCGCCTTGCAGAATGTAGGAAATGACTTGGAGAAATAGGAAGTTATAACTGTGCTACCTGTAAGATCATTGCACTTAAATAAGACATTAAGGATTTGCTATTGCCTAGTATACATTTTCTGGCTATAGACAATTTTTAATGTAATGATTTAGATGGGATAAACGAGTTGAATAATCATTTTATCAATGATTTAGGGACTGAAGTCATAACTTTGTCTGATCACATTGTATTTACGTAACTGAATTTTATATAAAAACTTTGATACCATGCGTAATGTTTTTAGGCATTTTTAGGTTTCCTGAGTATTCATATTACTTAATAATTATTGGGTTTCTCGTCTATGACAGGAGCAAAGTTCAAGTCTAATCTCGGTGATTCTATCGTAAATGTGTTATCAGCAACACACATTTGTATTTATATTGTAACAAGAGTATTCATATATAAGTTAGATGTTCTTCTATATCACGATAGTTATAATGAATTCGGCATTAAAGAAGGGCCTCCCGTTTCTACTGGCTGTGCTTAGTTCAGTTAAGCCGTCGATGGTTGAAGCATATAGGAGTGTTTTACAAAACTTATATTTGAGTTCAAGTTTTTCAGCATTGGAAATTGAAAATTTACTCGAGAACAAAAGTTTTGATTATTTAGAACTGAGTCAAAAATGTGCGAAAGATTTAATGTTTTATCGAACGGGAATTCAAAATCGAGAACTATGGGCGATGAAAAGTATGATATTGAATTTTTTAATTGAAAAGTATTATATTTTATGAAACAATGCTCTATGTGAAAAACTAATATTTACAGTGTTAGACGCGTCCAGCAAAGGCCAAACTGGTATCTTGGAAGGGAATGTAATAAATCTTGGAAATTATGACGAATGTGTGACAACAAATTATGCCGATATACAAGGAAGATATTGTACTTATACTTTGTCAGTAGCCGATAACAGTGTACCATTAGTTTTCAAACCAACATTGTCGTTTTGTCTGCCTGCATCCTGCGACATAAAAGATCTAGAGCTTTTAGCTAATAGCACAATAGTGAGAAATCCAACTTTCCAAAAATTCGGAATTTCTCCAGGATTCGCCACGTGTTCCAGTATCGAACCATTAAAATGGTTATGGGCAGGAATTATCAGCGTGTACTTAAAAAATTATTAAATTTCTTTTTGGACGAAAAAAAGTAAAAATAGGAAGTAATACAAATTTTTCTTTCCGTAGGTCGCTCTTGGCTATTTTAATTCTCTTCGTTGTTTTCTGTACAATCCTGGATACTTTATGCTCACCGCAAATGAAGGAAAAAGGTTTTCTTAACATTGCCAATAAATTTTCAATGTATACGAATGGTCGAAATATACTTAGCACTAAAGAATCACCAAATACTCTGTCGTCATTGCGTGGATTGCGATCCTTAAACATGGTATGGATCTTTCTGGGACATCAGCACGTCATTGAAATGTTGGCTCCGACTTTCAATTCTGCAGAAATAGTTGATGTTAGTACATATATGTATAAATATAATTATAACGAACGCTTTGTGCAAAGAAGTACTCATCTTTGTGCTTCTGATCGAACGGCTCTCGATTATACTTAAATTTAATAAGGATCGTAAAAACTGATGTTTGTTTCAGTGCATCCAATCCTGGAAATTGATGTACATTTATATTGCTCCATTTTCTGTGGACACATTTTTCACCATAAGTGGATTTCTGATGAGTTACTTATTTATGAAAGAAATGGCTAAAGGGACAAAATTCAATATCTTTCACTATTACATTCATCGTTATATTAGGTCATTAAAGATGATGAATATCGGTTTGTTATTCATTCTGTGAAGAATATTTGTGATTTTCATCGTTCAATTTTTATAGATTAACCCCCTCGCTTCTCATTGTTTTGATATCGGTGCTTTATATATATCCAAGCTTTGGCTCTGGACCTGGTTGGAATTTTATTATGAGTTACACTTCTGAGACTTGTTATCAGAATTGGTGGGCAATCTTACTGTATGTTCAAAACATTTTTAGTAAAGGAAATACGGTAAGTATCTTTTAACAATTGATTAGGAATAATACATAAAATATTTTATTAATTTATTTTAACTACGCAGTGTTTAATACATACATGGTACTTGGCTGTGGATATGCAACTATTTTGGATATCACCAATAATCCTTTATCCTCTGGCACGAAAACCAAAAATCGGTCTCGCAATATTAGGATTATTTTTCATAATTTCCATTGTAGTGCCAATCCTGGTTTTCATTTCTGGTGATTACATAGTTCCTCTTTACGATCCTAAAATGAGGTAATAAAAATTCTTGCTAATATTTCGAATGACAAATATACATTGAAAATATAAATGTATCTGGAGCTAGTAGTATCTAATAGATAGATTGCTTGGATTAAATAAGACTAATATTTTCAGTTCTGAAAAAATTATAAATCAATTTGCTGAATTTTATTCAGTAACGTATACCAGAGCTGCACCGTGGATAGTTGGTATCTATCTTGGATACAGAATGGCTGCAAAGAAGCCTAGGAAGTTGAAGAAAGTGATTTTCATAATTATATTCGTTATCCTCGTATTTAATTTACTAGTCGTAAAAATCGTCATCTAATTGATTTTTCAGATTGAATCGGCCTTTTTTTGGTCCTTAGCAATAATGGCTTTTGGCTTTTGCATTTATGGCCATTATGTCATTAATCAAACAGTACATCATCGTCATATGATTTTTGAAATTATTTATGTTGGCTTATCAAGGCCTCTTTGGGGAGCTGGGATTGCTTGGATTATTTATGCAAGCACCAATGGCTACGGAGGTATGGATATGAAGATTGATATTAACTATCAATGCATTAATAAATCACAACGACTTTATTCATATGTCCATTTTAATAATTTTAGGAATTATTAATACAATTTTGTCAATGCCAATTTTTATCCCAATGAGTAAAATATCTTATAGTTTCTACTTGACACATGTGGTCGTGCAGATTATTCGAATTGCAACATTTCGTACCCCAGTGTACTTCTCACTAACTAATATTGTGAGTACTTGATTGATTGAGTTTATATTAGTACTGCAAAGCGCGAAACTTGATTCATCAATTGTCTCCAATAATTTCTATACCTTATAGATGAGTGTTTCTCTCTTCAACATAATAATATCCTCGGTAATTGCCATTTTATTGAGTCTCTTTATCGAATCGCCTGTGTTAGCACTGGAAAAGATGATGTTAAGAAAAAATCATGAAAAAAAGAGCGAGTTAAGTAAACAGTTGTGCATCGACAACTCGAAGAAGAAGCAAACGACAGAAAAAAATAAGAAACAGATATAAGATGCCAAAGAAACAAATAAGATAAACTAATAATACAACGATTTTAATTCTTTTGTTAACGTGTATACAAAAGAATGTTATAATAACGAAACAAAGAATGCACATATAGAATTGTAAATATGATATAGGTTAAGAAAAGACAATAAAATTCTTGTTTCAATAAAAAATGCTGATTAAAAATCTCTTCAGTATTCATAGCAAAGATATTTTTAATAATAGAGATTTCAAAGTCTGTCAAACTCTTGGGAACATAGTGAGAAGAGGCCAAGAGACCTCTCTAGCGTATGAGGGCTTAAGGAATTCGCAGTGACAGATCGGTATATTTTGGTCGTCCAACTTTATAAGTCGAAAGCTGAGAATTTCGTTTGGTTGATTATATAACGGAGCCAGCGAGATAGCCAGGCAACCAAGTAGCTAAGCAGCCAAGTGGACGGGTAGACGGGCATCTCTAGGCAGCCAGTGAAGTACTAAGAAGATGAGGAACCGCGTGGCGTTTGTGCGGCGCAGTCGCTGACTGAACTGGCGTGTTCAAATGTTGATGCTAAATAAAACTTCTAGCTGGTTGGGATGATGCCATATGCTCTAATTCTGCGGTACGGTGGATGGCCGGGAGGCACCTTACGACGACGTCGGTCCGGTAGTCTGGTGGCTCGAAGCCCGAATACGAAATCATCTAGGAGGAGAGCACGCCGATATCATCGGCCCTTCCTTATAGATTAGATTGTAAGATCGGAGTCAATGTGAAGGCCCACGGTGTGACATGGCCCTGCCCGATCTGGGCAAGTGTATCGGGATCCTCGTGTTGGCTCTATTGTTATTACTTTATACGGGTTACGCGTTCAAAATACGTGATGCTGCTGGTGTTGTATCTACGGAGCAGAGTAAACCGGTTTGTAATCCATTATTAGGCAAGTGTAATGACAGGACACCGGTTCCTGTATCCTTGAGAGGAAACCAGGAAGTGCCTGTGGGAGGAAGGAAGATACACCCACCTGTGAAATCGGATGAGGATCTACAGGAGTCGAGGAAGATCGGATTCAGGAGTGATAAGACTGTCAAGATAGTTGAACGCTCGAGGATACAACGTAAGACTGGTCCTGTTCTCAAAGTTGGTGCTGTTAGAAATGTGGTTAGGGTAAAGGTGGCGCCGGTACAGGAGGAAGAGGAAGATAATGGAGTGGAGGGGATTGGTAATGGGGAGATGGTAGAGAGAGAGGATGATGATGATGATGACGACGACGAAAGTGAAGATGAGGTGAGTGAGAATAAAGACAGTGAGGATGAACAGATCTACGGTGTCTCTGAGAAGGGACAGTCAGATGAGGAGGACGACGAAGATGATAATGATGAAAATAAGGATGAGGAGGAGGATGAGAGTGATGATGATGACGATGATGATGATGATGATGATGATGATGATGATGATGATGATGATGATGATGATGATGATGATGATGATGATGATGATGATGATGATGATGATGATGATGATGATGATGATGATGATGATGATGATGATGATGATGATGATGATGATGATGATGATGATGATGATGATGATGATGATGATGATGATGATGATGATGATGATGATGATGATGATGATGATGATGATGATGATGATGATGATGATGATGATGATGATGATGATGATGATGATGATGATGATGATGATGATGATGATGATGATGATGATGATGATGATGATGATGATGATGATGATGATGATGATGATGATGATGATGATGATGATGATGATGATGATGATGATGATGATGATGATGATGATGATGATGATGATGATGATGATGATGATGATGATGATGATGATGATGATGATGATGATGATGATGATGATGATGATGATGATGATGATGATGATGATGATGATGATGATGATGATGATGATGATGATGATGATGATGATGATGATGATGATGATGATGATGATGATGATGATGATGATGATGATGATGATGATGATGATGATGATGATGATGATGATGATGATGATGATGATGATGATGATGATGATGATGATGATGATGATGATGATGATGATGATGATGATGATGATGATGATGATGATGATGATGATGATGATGATGATGATGATGATGATGACGATGACCAAGATGATGAAGACGAAGATAAGAGCGAGGATAATGATTTCGATGACAATAAACATGCAGGATCAGATACAGAGAAATTTGAGAACAGCGAAAATGACGAAAATGACGACGAATCCGAAATTGAAGTTAAAAAAGAACCAATAAAATCTGAGAAGATCAGAAGAAGTATGGAGAGCACAGAGATGAAAGAAAAACGAAACATTAAAATCTCAAAAGAAGTGTCAAAAGACAAAACGGCTGACGTCGATATCAAAGACAGCGAAGAAGAACAAGATAATGACGAAGATGAAGATGAAACTCAAATCAAAGATGAAACTCCTCCGCCACAATCACCACAAAGAAAATTAGAAAAAGTACGACTTGCGAATAAGTCAAAATCCATAGAAATTCTTCATACAAAAGGAGAAGCGGAAGTGGAAGTACGAACGGAAGAGCCAAAGAAATCCGATGTAAATAAAGCAGAGCCTCCAAAGGTACCAAAAGAGCCGTCCAAGGTAAAACCAACCGCATATAAGGAGGAACTAAAACCGCAAACGAAAGTGCAGAAAGAGAAAACGAAACCGAAATCCGAAGAGAAGGCGAGAAAGGATTTAGAGAAATCAAAAGTAAAGACGTCTAAGGAACAGGTGAAGGAGACAGTAGAAAAATCGAAAATGAAGTCACCGGAGACAATGCCGCCTGTAAGAACACCAATAAAAGAGCAACAAGAGAGTAAGTTCAATTGCCAGCAGTGTATTTCGATAAGCTACAAGAATTTGTGCCTAACATTTTCAACTGCCGAAACATGTTATGCATCTTCTTTCAAATTTCAGAGACCGATCTAAAGGCAAAAAAGAAGAAAATAGTGGAAGCCTCGATAACATTAACAGAATTAAACGACATGATTCTACAGGTACCAACATTTTTACCGAATTTCACAGCTGTTGAAAATCCAGTATGTCAAAAGCATGGAAAGATATTCCTAAGACAATTACGTGGCTTCAAACTTTGGGCTCTTCAAAGTGAGTTACTCGTAAGGCTAAAGTTAAATAAAAGACAATGACATCCTAATCCATGATTAGGATATAACATACTTAAATTTGTTCTTAGTGCTGGATTCAAGTGCTAAAATACCGTCAGGATTACTGCGTGGAAATGTTAATCAATTAGGTGATTTTGACGAATGCCTGGGTATAATGGCGCGTGTGAAAGTCGATGACAAAACCATAAAAGTTCAGGGAAAGTATTGCCTGGCTGCAGTGGACCTGCATGCGTCACGATCAGAAGCAAAAGTCCCAGTGAATCTGATGCAAAGTCGGGCCTTCGTAAGAGGAAGTATTCGCGATGTAAGTGCGCACGTCAATTATTTCTGATAGGTGTAAACGAGTCCATTAGAAAAATTCAATATTTTATCCTTCCTTTACCAAAGAATACAAGAGATATTAATTTAATCTAATCGAACGATATTTTACTTTAGCCAGGACACTTCATACCCAGATTCACTACTTTAAATTGGGCCTTATGCCTCCCTGCAGCATGTTCTGCCGAAGATGCCCAAACAGCAATGGAAAAGACTCTTGAACCTTATAACGTGTCGTCCGGAGTGAAATTCTCAGTGAACGTCAACGAAGATATGTGTTACGTTCAACAAAAGACTCAGACTTATTCCAAAGAGACTATAGGAGTACTGTAAGCCATTATTATTATGTACCTAGTATATACGGGGTTAAGGCCTGCTCTGATTGAACGTTTGGAAAACAGAGGTGCGTTCCAGTTAAGATGAAAATAGATCTGTGCCGGCGCGACAGGATAGATTAGTACGAGCAGGGAATTCACTTTAAGAAGAGCCTTGGCCTTGCTCCATGTATTCTAATAGATGCAGATCATTTAATGTGTAACATGCGTGAATATTATCTTAAGTTAATCTGATCGATTTAATTTTCTTTCAGGTACTTTTATGCTATGACGTTTTGTCTGGTGCTGATAGCAACCTTGAGAGACTATTGCATCAGTGAGCAGGGAAAAGGTATATTTTATAATTTAAATAATAATAAGATTCTCATGGTTATTATTGTTATTAGGCTCATACTCAGAAAGGATTATAATGGCCTTTTCACTGCGAAGAACTACCAATGCACTTATTAGAAATGCATCCAATAAAGGAGACATTAGATGCATACATGGAATCAGATCGCTTGCTACCATTTTTCTTTACGTGGCTCATAAACTTATACCTGTATCAAGGATGTCATTTGCAAATCGAATTTTACTGACGGAGGTAACGAATGAATCTTTCTGATTTAATGCTCCGAGGTCGTTTTTTCTATTGTTTTCCATTAATTCTTTAATGTCCCGGTGTGACAGGTGGCGAATAATCCTATCAGCTCTGTTTTGAGAGTTTCTTTGGTTTATACGGATTCATTTTTACTTCTTAGTGGAGTCCTCACGGCATACAATATGGCGAAGGAGATGAGGACTCGAGGAGAAATTCGATGGTTCTGCAGATTCGTTTCTAGGTATATTAGGTAAGATCAATTCTGAATTAAATCGATTTTCATTGTTCCACAGTAATTGCCAGCAATTTTTCATTACTTCATTATTTATATTTTAGGCTGACACCTGCATTACTCGTTGTTGTATTTTGGTACGCATTTGTAATGGAACATGTCGGTTCTGGACCACAGTGGAACAGCATCGTAAAGAATAATGCGGATATATGTAAAAGAAATGCCTGGACTAATGTATTATATATACAAAATTTCTTTCCATTTGAAGAAATGGTGAGGAGGACATTTGATACGAATTTTTCTTATGTTTGCTTATTATATATGTAATTATGTCCATATGTTCGTATGTTCAGTGCGCTACCCATACACATCAGCTGGCTCTTGATATGCAATTATCATTGTTGGCACCCATGCTCGTCTTCTTTCTTATTTGCAAACCAATAATTGGCATCCTGATAATATTCTTTTTATTGCAAGTATCGGCTACTGTACGTTACTTGTCAACGTCGAATAATTATTTGTCTTTAGTGATATTCCATGGAATCACGTGAGTACTTAATGTTTTCTAAACTTATGTTAATTATGTTAATTAATATAAATTTTTTCTTCAATTAGTCTGAAACATCTGTACAAGACAGCCAATTTGACTTATGCATTACCATTGCACAGAGCTACGCCCTATTTATGTGGCGTTGGACTTGGTGTACTTTTAGATTATACAGGAAAAAATATTCGAATTCATAAGGTATGAATTTTTGAAAAATTTTTCACAGATTTCAGATAGATCATTATATCTTTTATATCAGATACTCGTTATATTGGGCTGGCTAATAGCATCAGTCTTGGGGGGATGGTCGTTATTCTCACCCTGGAAACTCGCCAGAAGGGATTACGTCTACGACGTCGAGGATGCTACTCATTTTGCTGTGATCTGTCCAGTTTCCTGGTCCTTGACTTTATGCTGGACGATATTCGCCTGCTTTACAAATCATGGTGGTAGGTTTATAGTTTGTACTATTTTTGTTAAACTATCATTTAAATAATTTAAACATTTACGTGTATAGGTCCTGTGAACAGAATCCTCTCCAGTAGATGGGCTGTAATATTCAGCAGGATATCGTATGCTGTTTATTTGACGCAATTTGCTGTTTTCTTTTACAACGTTGGCACCACTAGGTATCCATCCGAGTTCCAGATTCATAGGGCCGTAAGTATTAATGGCTCTACGTACTCTTTGAAGATTCTTTTTAAATGTCACTTTTTATCGCATTAAATTATTTTGCAGATTGACCTGTACGAAGTTGCTGCTGTTATATTGGTATCGGTGGTGCTCACTCTATTTTTTGATATGCCAATGCAAGAAGTCAAAAATGTTATAATGGAAAGTAGTGACGGTCTGGTAATAGAAACAACGAGTGAGGAGAATAAAGAACATACGCAAATGGATGGGGGAAAGGAAGAAAAGTTGCCTAAGGAAATAGGGGATGATGAAGTAGACTCTACTGGATGGGATTGGCAGAAGGATATAGCAGAGGGTGTTTCGAGGAATGATAAAAAAGAAGATACCGAGGAAGATGACCCTATTGAGATTTGGAACTTGAAGAAACAGGAAGTTAGACGGAAGTCCCTGATAAGACGCGATGCTGAAGATAAGGAAGAGATTCCTACTTGGGACTGGATAAGAGGACCAAGTAAAAGAGTATCTCGTGAAGAAGAGATCATTGAAAGGGGCCCAAGGGGTAGGGGTCGTCAGAGAAGTTCTGTAAAGGATGCCGATGAGGATATCAAAAGAGCTCAACAGCAGCGTGAAGAGGAGTTCAGGAGAGACAGGCGATCTCAGTCCAGGACAATAGATAGTAAAAGATCTTCCGTCAAGGACAACGAGGATCCTTCCTGGGAATTTTTAAGGAGGGAACGATCTTCTTCTAGACCTAGTGAAATTCAAAAAGTCAAGGAGGACGATGCTAGGCAATTTAAACGAGAAAGATCAGAATCAAAGGGAAGATCCATACGGGAACCCGACGAGAATCCATCTTGGGAATTCGTAACTAGGGAACGTGCATCATCCAAAGGATCAGAGTCAAAAAGGGCCTCTATAAAGTCTCCATCAGAGGAACTCAGACCTATGCGTCAGAGTTTGGAAAAGCCACTGGAATCAAAACGGACGTTTTCTTCGGGGAGTGAAGAGGAGTTAATTCCACGAGGAAAATTGAAAATGGAAGAATCATACGACGAGCCAAGGAAATCGGATGAGGAAAATTGGGAGGAAGCACTGAGATTACGCAGAGAGAAATTAAAATCACAGGATGTACCGTCTCAGGAGCCCGAAGACGGGGCGGAATGGAGAGTTACAAGAAGATCCTCTGCAGAGGGTAAAATAGCATTGCTCAAAGATACAACTGACATAGACGTAATGAATACCTGGAGGATCCCACGAGTATCCCGGATGGGTTCGTCGCAGGAGCCTAGCGAGCCAGAGGATGATGTTATCCATTCCCCCAGGAGGGATGATTATCGCGAAAAGGCACTACCCTTCGACAGGGAGGAAACACAGAGTGAGGAAGAGAGTAGCTGGGATAATTCTAGACGAAGGTCTTACACCAGTGGCAGTCAGCCCACTTCCCTGGAGGAAGAGGACGAAATGTCCAGTTATGATTTCGTCCTGCGGAAAGAAAGTAAAAGGACATCACTGAGGGATCTAAGTAGATTAGACGATCCTGAGATAGAGGAGGATTCCGGATGGGACCTGGTGAAGGATGATAAGAGTGATTCAGCTCCAAGAAGTTCTTCAGGACTCTTCAAACGTGAATCCATTATAAAGAGTCAAGCCAGTGAAGAGGATCCTGAATATTTACTTCCGGAAAGACCAAAGCTAGTAGAACAAGAGCAAATACATCCATTCAAAAAAGCTTGGCAGGTGCAAAAGTCACGATCAGAAGAGGAAGGACCTTCCGGTTTTTTAGCGAAGGATACTAAACCATCCAATAGTGGTTCCACTAGCAGACGGGAGGACGATTCGAACGACAGGCGTAGAAAGGATCCCACGGGAGGACATTCGAAGGATCTAGAAAATTTTCTTGGGGATGAGAGAGAGTCCAGGTCTCAGAGTGAGGATAATACTCCAAGCTTGAAATCCGAGACTGACGAGGATTCTTCAAGATTTCATTGGCCCAGCGAGGACGAGCAGTTGGCCAGTTACAAGCAGCAGCTGAGAAGGCGATCCGAGGAGGCGAACTGGGACTGGGAACAGGAGGAGACTTGAGGAAGAACGTCGAGGGAATAAACTGCGACGTCACTAAACGATATCTATATCCAAAGGAAACGATCCTAAAACCTCAACAAAGATTGGGAACAGAGTGGGAAAAATGCATCGTCGAGATTTGTGGACATAAGAGATGGTACTCGTCGATACTAACATGAGGAGTCACTGGTTAATGACAATTAAATATTGATTTAGGATAATCAGAATAAAGAGAGGATACGTACTCGTTTTTGTCATTCCTTTTTTTTTTATAAGACTTATAGACCAAAAAAGATTCAACTTATACAAATTTGACTATGCCTCCGTGGTGCTGTTAGTATCTATATTAATCTTTTTACTGGATACAGCTTCTTGCCCTACAGAAACATCAAGTTATGCTAATTAATCTTGCCGGTTTCGAGAAATAATATTTACACACCTCTACGCAGTAAAGTCTTCTCCAACGCAAGTATGGGCGATTCAAACATGGTTGAGAGGATGACAGCACCGCCAAATGTTAAAGTAATGTGTGCCAAAATCTCCTTGAACTATAGAGAATTGCTATTAGCTTCGCATTATATTATTAGAGAAGATGTGATATAAATTAATACTAACCAAACTAAAATTGTTCAGATACTCAGGTGAGCGAATTGTTGCCACATTGTGTAATTCAATTAAACCATTAATCAGGTACGCTGAGTAAGTCAATCTACTGATTGGTGTCAATGGTTTCCATGTAAGGAAAGTCTTAACAGGGCCCGCGTTATCAGTAATACATGCTACAAGCACCCAGCCTGTACCAAGACTCCACATGGCTCTGTGCAATGACGAGTAGATTGCAGCCTCAATAGTTGTAAAATTTTTTCTTGGTCCATAAAAGACACTTATGGAATACATGGATATCAGTAATGACAAGCTCCCAAGAAACCATCCTATCTTTATAGTATTCTAAAAGCATAATTAATGATTATTACTAAATTATGCTAGCCTCCAGATGATGTTACGCACCTTGGACAATTTTAATTCAGCTATTTGTATACGGTAAACAACGTAGCCAAAAATTATACCGAAACAGTAAGAACTGGCTCTCATGTGAGTCTTTATGTAACTACCGCGAAAATACTCATTCGTTGATATATCTTTAATTTCGCTGAAAATAATAATTTTAAAAATCTTTTTCACCTTCTCTTATCCTTGATATAGGTTAAGAGGATATGCGGTGTAAGTAAAGTACTTACGAAGTATAAATCATGAAGGTAGGATCCAGGTTGTTTAAGAGTGTTACTGTAAATGGTATTAACATCGACAGGGTCGTCACCCCTGCCAAAATAAATTCTCCAGGTCTGCGCCATCTCCATAGAGGATACACGACTATGGGTGCCAAGATGAAGAGTTGCGTATCTACCGAGAGGTACCAAGATTGGAACATGCACTGTAAATAAAGACGACCTAATATATTTTCTGTGAATTTTGACAGGGGTTGATTTTGCGCACCAGGTTATCAGTGTTGACGTAATTATTTACGTAGAGAAGATTCGTCCACCATGAGCTCAAGCATCTTTCCTTTTCGAGATCCATCCTATACCACAAAGGACCTTTATCCAGTTTTGGTAACCACGTCATGTACAGACCCAACATCACCATGTAAACTGGGGTCAATCTGATGTATCGGAAAATGTAGAGAAATATGAAATTAACGTGACCCCTTTTATCTAATTCACGTAGCAATAGACGAGACATTAGAAATCCACTGAGCAGTAGAAACGTATCTACCAGTAGTGGATTATTCAGGAAAACTGAGTTCTGAACTTTGCTGACAGCCTGAAACGTACATGGAAGAGATACTTACGTAATTGCTTAGTGGAAAAATTCCAAATTATCAAAATCTTACATAAATCCCAGAGCACTCACCTCCTCCCAAAAAATTCTGTTCAGCACGGGTCCACTCACTACGAATATCAGCGTGTGTCCGGCTACTATCATGAACATGGCGACACATTTGATTCCTGATATGCATTCGAGATTAAGACCATCGTTGTGGCAGGGTCCGCAGAGTTTTTTAAAATTTGATATTACTGAAAAAGCCAGCATCACTTGAGGAAGTGTGCGTTTAGGAACCTCTTCGTCATTTCGGAGATATAGCCAGTGAAAGATAGTTCCGGCAATCATGGCAGCAGTAATACATAATAAGATACATCTAAAATCAAAATTATAGAGAATTATAATGAAGTTCATAAATTTGCACTTTGTTTTCCTCGAAACTTCGTTATCTTACAAATAAATCACGTCCAAGGAATCGGCGTTCAATGGCTTCCTGGTGTAGCATGAATTTTCCGGAATCCTGGGTGTCAATTTAAGTCTGGATCCACTGAACGCAACGGCGAGGACTCTCCTGATGACATCCTCGACATCTTGGGGAGCGCATGCAGCAGGCACGCAAATTCCCCAGTGCAATTTCGTAATCGTGTCCTGGTAGCGTTCCTTCGCTTTCCGGAAGTACTCCCAAATGCTACCATCCTTCTCAAGATATATATTCGGCACGTCGATGTTGACCTCACCTAGACAATACTGACCCCGTAATCCTGACGGTGTCTCTTCCTCCTTCACGTTGCCGATTTCCAGGCACTCGTCGAAGTTACCCAACTGATAAACCGAACCACCGAGAACGCCTTCGGGGAACTTCCCAGAGGCGTCGTAGAACTTGACCGCCCAGCTTGTCAGATTGTGTAACCCGTTAAGCATGAGTTTACATTGATCCCTGCAGGAGCTGTCATCGATCATCTCAATGGCCTGAGACATAAGGCTGAGATCCCTTGACAGTAACGGCAGCATATTCTCATTGTACGTGTCATAGACCAGATCTTCATTGACATTTTTGATAACAAGAGGAGCATCGATTTTCAAGACATTTATCGGATCGACAGTAAACGCCTGGGGCAAGAACAAAATAATTACAAAAACGCAATTAGACACAATCTGTTTTACGTTGCTCATCGTTCCTACTGTTATCGATAATATTCTGTCTACCGCTTTTACAACGATCAATTTAATTTAACATCATTAATAAACGGTTCACAGTAATTTTATATATCAACCACACTCTACAAACATTATATTTATTTATGTCATTCGAAAGGTATCTCGTGGCAGAAGCAAACGATACTAGTCCCACTCCAAGATCAACTGACTACTCTTGCTTCCAGTAAGAAAGTTTTATGAGAAGCGACTGTAAAGACGAATAGCACTATTTGTACTCTGTGTCACTGTCACCTTGACGCGCATGATTCGCATAAGAACTTAAGGTCACATTAGGTGATTATTAAAATTTTATATCTATGTAACTCCTAATAGGATTTATTTAAAATCCACCAAGTTTCCTATAGAAACGCGTTAACTTTCACTCTGTGGTATTTTATCGTAACGTTGATATATTTAGATTTATATTTGTCGAATTTTCAATGCTGATTCGATAAACTTAAGACGGTTTTCTTTTGACTGGCCGTGATGTAACGACGCGTCGCGGCGCATGCACCTTATTGCAAATTAACTGTATTGACAAATCAGCAAGTTCGAAGTTGCAAGAATGCAGCGAGGGATCAAGTTTTCCTACACCTATAGTACGAGTCGAGTCATTTCTCATTCGAGTTATCTAAGAGTGGGATAAACTCGTCTAGGTCTGGTTCGATTACTGTTATTTTCTATACACTATTCCGTATGGACTCAACAATTCACATTTTATGACCAAACTAGTGATTTTTAAAGTTTGAACTTTGTTTCGACAACTCAAAAACATGTTTTTCGTAATTTAGACATTTTATATTTTACTCCTTTAAATATGCCGTCCACATACATTTATTCAAATCTATCGATAAGAACCATTCTGCTGTTGATTATGTTAAATGAATTCACGTAGTCATATTGTTTACTGTGTACCTGAAAATTAATATTAGCTCATCCGCATTTCTCTTGTATTATTCTCCGTGAACTTAGCACCTAGGACAATTTTCGAGGTGTGAATAGGTGTTGACGAATGGCTGCAGTCCGAACATATGACGACTGCATGTTATAGTTCAATTAGGAAATGCGGCCCTGAATTGATGTCCATTCTTTGTCGAGTGAAAATATGCAGACGTCATCACATTTACCAATTTACGTACTGTACAGACAGTATTGTAGTCTCTTAATATTCTCAAATTGTCACGATTCACTGTAGGCAGTACGAATGTTCAATATCTTAATTTGCAGTGTAAATTTTCGTTTAATAAAAGCAGTTGGTGATTATTAATTTTTACGTGACGCTAAGGTAACGTTAAAGTATAATTTTACATGTTTACATATTGAACTAAAAGATTATCATTGCCGATAGAACAATTTGTAGACATTCCAAAAGAAAAATTCGAAATTTCGATTAATCCTTGATTGGTACAAATCCATTCACGTAAAGGTGGTAATTTCTAACGCTATACAGTTATCATACTGTAGATTTAGCTATAGTGTTGGTAAAGAGAAAGTCATTCGAGGGACTTTGCTATTTGTACAAGCCTCCACGTGTCCATGCGTAGGTACCTGCGTTATTCGAGAAGAAAAAATAGAAAGAAAAGGAAAACAAGATACACGTGTATTATTATTTCTCGAATGTTACTCAATGATTCTAGTAGTTGAACAAAGCGTTGCGTAATTCTTTTACAGAGAAATCACAAAAGTACCTGTTTGCACTTGTTTTCTCTTACTATGCATGTATGCACAAAAGATTGATCCAATAGTAAAGTAGATTTGCGAGTGAATAAACAAAATTTTTATTTGATATTTTCGTAATGCATTCAAGTGCATTTATGTATCTACGTAAAGAGAGGCTGTTTTTGGTATTAAGGTAGTTCATATGGTTTTAAGATTTACGACGAGACTTGGGTTAATATTTGTTAAGTGTGTCAGCACTGAGTAATCATGTCTCAGTATGATAATTTTGTAAAACGTACAGGGTGTTCCGGGTTTTTCTTGCCAAACTGCGGGATAGTTCTCTGTAGTCGGAAATAAGAGAAAAATAAAGTTATATGAAGATTGACTATGTCATAGCCTTATACAGCCATGCTGAAAATGTTTTCCATATTAGTATTCATTAGATAATGTTTCAATATGTTTACTATTCCTTCAACTGACAGTTCTTTCACAGGAATTCCGAAAATGTAGGAGTAAACCAAGAAGTCATTATGTAATTTCGTATTTTATAATGAATGCTGCGGTTTACCGCAGGAACATTTTTATGAGTAGAACAGGCATGTTCATTTAATTATTAGCATGACTTTATTTGCGTTACTCCAGTACAAGATAGGATTACCAATATGCGCATTGATAATTCAAAAACGATTCTGTTATCCGTTTCTTTCCAGAAAACTATTTTGAAGTGAGGAAGTACTTCTGATAAAAATGAAAACTCTTACAGACATTCACGTAGTCATTGTCCTTCTCGTTTCCGGTGCTTCTCTAAGCTATTCCAAGAATTTCAATTGGATCACCCAAATGGCATCATACATGGAGCCAATATCAGCAGAAGTAAGCGAAAAATGTCGAGAGGACGTTAAAGAATTTTTATTCGAAACTCAAAACTTGTCTATGTGGGCAGTGAGCAGTAAGTAAAAAAAAAATTTATATAAAATTCAAATAATAAGGTTAAGGCCCTTGTTTCATTGCAATTCCTAATTCTTTCCCTCAGTGATGGACGCTATGGGAAAGTATCCGTCTGGTGTATTGTCTGGAAATATTCGGTCAATGGGAAGCTTTGATCAGTGTCTGAGAGTGCAGCATCCCCAAGAGAAATATCAAGGGAAATATTGCTTATTAAGATTGCATTATTCAGCGTACGGAGAGAAGGAGCATCTCTACGAGAGATTCATCAGTCTCGTGACGGCCGAGAGAGGAAAACTGGAGACCGGGGACGATTGGCTACAGGTATATTGAAAATTATGAATAAAAGAAAAAACAGCATGGGAACAAAAGTAGACAGTAAGATACTTCGCAAAAATGACGTCTTACATTACCCGCGGGTTTCTTTAACGTAAAACACATAACGTCTACCCGATCCAGATATAACCTAGTTATTTCATACTGTACAGGGTACTCTGATACTCCCAACGTATTCCTACAGCGAATGGGCTCTCTGTATTCCATCTTCTTGCACGGCTCGGGACGTAAAAATTTTATCGATGAACGCTATTGAGAGAGCAATCTTTCCTAGTGGAATACACATATCGATTTCATTGGACGAGAGTAACTGTTATGTTGGCTCAATAAGAAGACCCTATCAACTGCTCGATTTTTTAGTGACGTAAGATATATGCATATATACCTATAACTTGTATAGATATTTTTTATTATATTTTCTAATCATTACTCTTCTCTCTTCTTCATCTTTTTAGAATTATTCTAGTCGGTCTCTGCCTTGCTGTCGTTACTGGTACTGTATGCCGCAGACGAAGCATAGATATAGAAAGTACGTATGGTCAAGATTATGTATAATTATGACGCGTGGAAAATATTGTAACATTAGTCTAAATTTAATAGAGAATAAATGCGAGAGCGACAAACTACTTTGGAAAACACTTGGCTATTTTTCTCTGTTTGACAATTGGGGACGTTTGGTGAATATGGAAACTTATCCAGACGATTCCATAACTTGTCTCGAGGGTATACGTTCTCTGTCCACACTCTGGGTGGTAATGACACATCAGATAATACTGATTAGCCAATTACCGTTCATCAATAAATTGGAAACTATGCAGGTACGTCAGTAGTTACGTACTCGTAAATATTAGGAATTTCTGGTTAGGCGATAAAGTGTGATAAAGTCCATTGATATTCTGTGTATTCGTTTCTTTTATATTAAATTGCTCTCTGAATTTCAGACGCATAATAATTACCTCTATTACGCATTATGGAACAGTTACTTCAATGTTGATACTTTTCTACTCGTGAGTGGCCTCCTACGCTCATACACTTTAATGAGAAACTTGGAAAAGGGATCGGCAAGTTTTGTCAAATCGGCGTTACAGAGATATTTAAGACTTACGCCTACTTATATTTTCGTTATATTGTTCTACGTGACGATCTATGATAGACTTGACAATGGACCAGCTTGGAATTATTACGTTACGAGAAACAGCGAGGCGTGTAGAAGAAATTGGTGGCAAAATTTGTTATACGTTAATAACTACGATTCAGGGAATGATAAGGTAAGTCAGCCTGTGCACTGCAACCCGTCATATATCTGTGAACTAACTGTATCGTTCTCAACTACTATTCGCAAATCACTTTATTTTCGCGTGATATAATTGACAAAAAAAGAGAAATACAAGAAAAATATATCGTTTGTCTAATTCGCATAACAGATCCCTTTTTTTTTTTGTAGTGTATGCTCCAGTCCTGGTATCTATCGGCTGATATGCAATTATTCTTGACTGCGCCATTAATCGTTTATCCATTATGGAAATGGAAATACACAGGAAAAATGATTATAGCTATCGCACTTATATTCTCCATTCTTTTACCGTTCGTTACCACTGTCATCTACAAACTTCCTGGAACTTACGTATTTTCTGTGAGGTAATATCCCTTGTTTGATGTACACTCCGGATGTATGTATATATATGATTTTTGTATTTCCGAGTACGTTAAGAAATTTGAATCTTCTAGTAATTCACTCCTGAACGAATATGCTCACCGTATATACATGGCTACCCACAACAGAATGTCACCGTACCTGGTAGGACTGTGTCTTGGAGGAATACTCCATGAAAAGAGGATAGTGCGATTGGAAAAAGTATAAAAATAATATCTATTGACGTCACAGGCGAAAAAGTTTATAAAAATAAGAAAAAAAGATGTTAAGGAAATATTGATGAATAATGCACATTCAATAATAACTTTTTTACTTTGGTTCACAGTGGAAAATAATCCTTGGGTGGACTTTGTCCTTGGCGGTGATGTATGCCTGCGTTTATGGTGCAAAGGGGATTACTTCTATTCACCATCCGTACGATCTATGGGAGGCTGCTACCTATGGTGGTTTCCATCGTTTTGCCTGGTCGATTTGTGTCGCTTGGATCGTTTATGCCTGTCACACGGGTTACGCCGGTAAGTGTCTGACTTTATCTCTTTCGTATACCTACTGCAGCCTCTTCCTATGCAATGAATAAAAATTGATGAAAAGATCACAGTCACCATATTTCATGGTTACTATGTAGGCGTATTGCGAAAACTTTTAGTATCGCCGACCTTTGAGTGAACACCATTGGGTATTGTGCTATGCATAGCCTTTTATGTTAATTGCAATCGCATTGATCGGGTCCTCTGAAAAGCCGGTTATTTGTTTACACTTCTGTATCACTTTTTGTAATATATAAATACATATGCATGTATATAGTACTGGATGATTTGCATATCTATTGAATACTGTAAAATGAACTTTAATCTTCGGACACTTGAAAAATTATCATATTATTAGTCTCTTAATTTTAAGGAATTTATTAAGGTTATAATCGAAAGGTGCTTCTTTTTCTAGGTCCTATCAATGCTTTATTGTCATGTGGTATTTTCAAGATATTTGGCAAAATAAGTTACTGCGTGTATCTCACACATTTGGCGGTGTTGCTTTACAATTCTGCAGTATTGCAGTCACCTCGACAATTGCACACATACATAACGGTAGGTTATCTAGTCGTCTTCAAATATATACTTTTGGCATAACACCTCGAATAACATACATTACTGCGCTTTCTTGCGATTTGCTAATTTTCCTCTCGCATGACCGAATGTCGTTCTATGAAATAATGCTAATATAATGTTTTGGATGTCAATTATGCATTTAAAAAGAATTGACAAATTACATGTATAAGTCTGGACGCTCATTGTCGTCATATTCCTGGTAAAAATATGAAAACAAAAGGTATCCTGATTAAATATTCCTGTTGCAGATTCGCGATTTTCTAGGAGATTACGCCATTATCTTTTTGATATCTTTGCTGGTCTACCTGCTCGTCGAATCGCCTTTTTCTCATTTAACTCGTTACATGTTTAAAAAGTATTAATAAAAGAACAAATAACTGAGTCCCTAGTTCTTCTTTCCAAGTAAATTGAGGAGTTTACACTACGGAAGCTAGAGCCATGTAAACGGAACACTATCCATGCAATCCTCTATGCAATGGGTAATTGCGCAAGTGTCTACCAACGGTTGCTTAGACTGGTTTGGCGCTTATAGTCCTCCGGGACTATAGAAAGAGTAACACAACACTCCAAGAGAGGAGGGGCCAAGCACGAAAATATAATAAGAAGGGGAACGTAGTGAATGGTTTCTGGAAGATTAAAAGAAAACTTCAGTATGGTTTTGGGGGTTTGGTGCAAGTTCGGGGAGAGTCTCATACGGTTCCATTCTCTTTATGTTGAAAATCGTAAGGTAGATCATTTTTAAGACCAGTCTTTTCCACGCCGTCGAAGACGTTTCAACAGAATGCATTTCTTCCTTGGACTGTACCTATTGGTACTGAACCACATTTTTATCGTGTCGGCTACGAGTAGCAAGTGCCAAACCGAATGCGCAAAGTTCAGCACCGTACCAGACAATACAAAGCTAAATCGCGGAATTCGGGAACGCGTTAATTCGACACTTAATGTTCTTAACGAAACGTGGAATTTGGGATATCCTTCGTATCATGACACATTTTTGCTTAATACTAGCGTCGAGGCGCCGAACGTTAATGAGGATCCTACGAGAATCGATATAATTTCACCTAATTGGTTCACACAAGTTTGGGAGGCTAGTCATTCACTTTTGGAAAATTTGAGTCCTGCGTGTCAGAGAGATGCTGCGGTTTATCTTCAGGAAATTAAGAACGTGACGGAATGGGCGATCAGAAGTGAGTGTTGTTATAATTATATATATATAATTATAAGTTCGAGCGATGTACAATAAGAGGAGTTGGGTTTTAAAAGTTTCAAATCAGATACTTGAGCACCACGTACATTTCATTATATAATTAAGTTTGGTAAGGCTAAATTGATGGAGATGAAAGTACGATTAGGAAATGATGGCAGTGGTTCTCGGGTGAACGAATAGGGCCAAGTTCTATGTACTATAAGCATCAACTACATCGGTTCAGCTTATCTTCGGTATACATACTTTAGCATCGAGGAAGCAAAAATTAACTGGATGAAATGAATGAATCCGATACGCCACGAAATTTGCAATTAATACATTGGTAATTTTTCTATCACAGTGATGGACGCTTCTGCGAAATTTCCTCACGGAATTCTCATGGGGAATATAAGAACTCTGGGAGACTTTGACGAGTGTCTCTCTGTGGTTGCTCCAATGGAAATCAAACCGCAATACTGCATGGCGAATATTCGTTTGAATAAAGGATTGATCCGCGAGAAGTATCCGAAGTGGTTTGAACTATTGCGACAGTCAACCTATGATCGTATTGATACAGAAATAGAAGAGCTTGTACGAGTACGTTCATTAAATCTAAAGTTATACTGATGAAGGCTATGCTTTAAAGGATTTAGTATAATTCATGTAACTTTAGGGAATATTTCCGGCACCAAAAGCATCTAGATTCGAATGGGCTATATGTGTTCCTGCATCCTGCTCGCACAGGGATGTTCAGGATATTCTAAATGTGGCTGCAGCTAGGATCCTACCGGGTACCGGTACCTTTGTAGAAGTGACTCCTGAAGATTGTTACAATAACGAACCTAGAGAAAAGTTTACGCGAGGAGATTATATAATATTGTAAGTATAAAATTTTAATCAATATAACCGAGTAAGTGTTGTCATTGTAATTTTGATTTATTCAGAACTCTCTTGGGTCTTATAATTTTACTGGTGCCGATAGGAACGTTAATCGATAATGTAACCCATCAAAAAGAAGGCAAGTCATTATTCCTTGTCTGCAATCAATCAATCAATTTTAAAATATGACAAACATTAATAATTTTTAATATTCTTAAAAAATACAGGATTACTTTTCGATATATTCAGAGCCTTCTCCCTAAGTCGTTCCTGGAATAAGTTGACTAATTTTGCCAATTCGGAGAAAGATACGATAGGATGCATAGATGGGATGAGATCGCTATCAGCTCTATGGGTTGCACTCGGTCATCAAGGTCTAGTTTCATCGAATTTACCCTATACGAATAAGATATCCTATTTCAACGTAAGATCAATTATAGATATTATTAATCACAATACAATATCTGAGATAATCAGTTTAATTTGATTCATCGTCATAAATTTAATGAGATTTGTGTATTGTAACAATAATGTTCTTACGACAGACCCACAAGATCTACGCAATATTGCCAATTTGGAATTTCTGCCTGGCGGTTGATACATTTTTAATAATTGCTGGCTTAGTACGTTGCTACAGTCTAATGCTAAGCTTAGAGAAAAGAAGAGTTAATCATGTCAAGAAGTTTCTTCAAAGATACTTAAGACTGACACCAGTCTTGTTGGCAGTCGTTGGAATTTATATTACCGTTTTACACAGACTGTCAACAGGTCCATATTGGAAGAAACAAGTTGACAGCAATAGTCTTGCCTGTAAGATAAATTGGTGGCAGCCTATTTTTCATATGAACAATTACGATAAGGATAACGCGAATAGGGTAAATATAATTTGAAAGTTTTTAAGCTCTTCAAATTCATAATGAATTTAGAATATTTTTTGTTGGGATTTCAGTGTGTCTTACAGACTTGGTACACTTCTATGGATATACAATTATTTCTTATATCTCCATTGCTGATCATTCCTCTACGGTATAGTCCAAAATTGGGTATAGCATTTTTGTGCATTCTCATCGCCGTTGTTACCGGAATTCAGGCGCTGACATTATGGATACTGAACTTGCCTGGGTTACCAATTACGTTTCAGAGAAAGTATGTTTACTGTTTGCTATGAAATCCACACTGTTGCTTACGAAACAGAGTTATTGTGCATCTTTTCATTAATGTAAAAATTGTATTACTATAGCGAAGAAATACTGAACATGCATATAACTATGTATTACGATCATACTCACATAAGGATAGTACCCTACTTAATTGGAATTCTGACAGGTTACTTTATGTACTGTCACAAGAGCATCACGATGTCTAAGGTAAATTTTCTAATATAAATCACTTGTATTATTAATTTAATGACAAATTATGTTTATAGATCCAACTGATTAGTGGATGGTGCTTAGCATTATTTGCGTTCTTATACCCTATTATGGGTTCCTATGACATTATTACTAATGAGAAAACTTATAATGCCGGGAATCATATATTGTTTGGTACAATTCATAAATCTATCTGGGCTCTAGCGATGGCCTGGCTCATTTTTGTCTGTTACTATGGATACGGAGGTAATTAGAATTAAAATGTCAATGTACAGATAAGTGATATACAGAGCTTGAAATATTTATAAATTTCTTCATCGACTTTGTGTTTCAGGAATTATCAATAGTATTCTATCTTCCAAAATATTGAAACTGTTATCACGGTTATCATACAGCATTTTCGTGTCACATTTCATAACGTTAATAATTTTTGCCGGTCACTTACGAACGCCAAAACACATGAACTTCTCAACAATGGTGAGTATAATAAATAGAATCATCATTTTATTTGAAACTTTAAAAAAAATGCTATTCTCAAATTTCAGATAAAGGATACTTGCGGTGATCTGTTCCTTATAATATTAATAGCCGCTTGCTTGCATCTCGTGATAGAAGTGCCATTCGAAAAGCTTTCACAAATGTTATTCGCGCGAAAGCGGGAAGAAAGAAAAAAGACAGAATGACAAAGTCCAAAAATGAAAATAAAATCAAAAAAGAGAAATGACCAAGAGTGGATAACTGAAAAGAAATGAAGAGGATAGAAACAATAAAAAAATTGCAAGAAATATCAAACTCAGTCTTAGTCTGTATAATATAGTTAGATAAGAAGTAGGACAGGCAACTTCAATAAAATAAAAGATATTTCGAATAAAGCGATTCACGTCCTGAGAAGAGCACGTGTGGCGTCCTATTGACTTTTATCGGCGTTGAAAATCGTTGAAACGGACCTACAGCACCCTACACTTCTTTCACCTCCACTTCCTTTTTTCCTTATTTATTTCCTTTCTACCTCTTCTTCTACCACTTCTTGGCCAGTGGTAGACCTCTACACAGGCCGATGCCGAAGCAGGACGTGATCTCGTCTCTGGTCTCGTTAGTAGGCTGCTTATCTTCTTTTTCCTCATCCTCGAGCACAGTGAATGCTACGTTCCTCCATTGTTGATTTGAGCCGAGTCCAGAGAAGACTTATACAAGGAATCCAGGGCTCAGGCACATATGGCCACATATGTGAACGCGCGTGTGGTTTGTATAAAAGTCAAGGATGTACCAGTATACTACCAGGTATGTCGGAAGGTTTTCCTACATGAGTATTGGGAAGGTCTACTACGTGTCTGGACTGCCTGGGATTCAAGACGTCGCCTGGAGACATGCGGCGACGCTTTCCTGCCAAAATAAATACCATCGTTTGTCGAAAAATGGAGGCACGCCTCTCTTCCGGTGGGCTACTTCCGTCCTAGCGGGTATACGTTCCTATCTCGCTCTGGTTCCTTAACACTAAACATATCGACATTTTTTTATAAACATATTTTTGGCTTTAAAAGGCTCAAATGACCCGTCGATGGTATGTTTAGTACTAACACGGTTCTTTTCTTGTACAACAATACAACCTAGTACGAACGTGCCACCCTTATGGTGCAAAAGTAAACAAAATTTTCATTTTTTTTTTCCTGAACCATATGTATTGTCCCACCTGACTATATATTTTTACATGGGCAAAGCCATAATCTTGCTGAGGGGATGAAATTTTTGGCACGTAAATCGGTTCAACCTATAAGGGATTGTGGTATCTGTAAGGGGTAGTTTTGGCATCATACATGAATTATCGGATGCTGTAGAATACTGGGTTATAGATGTAACTACTTGAGGGTTTCTCCTGTGACGGGTGAAGGGCTGATTTGTGGTTTCCTTGTAACGAAAATTTAGCAAGTGTTTCCTATGCCAATGTAATATGGGCATCTAGAGGCGTTTCTGGTTAAGGGATGAAAATTTACGCCAAGACCACCCTGCCTATCAGTGTCTATATATTAAGAGACTAAGGAACGAAGCACGACTAACGCCTACGAGGTGAGGAGTAGCAATGCCTAACGTACCAGGACATTTGCATACTTAGATATTCATGTAGGGAAAGCTTTCAATGGCGCATTACATGATCTGGGATTGTCGACTGGCACCACGCATCTTGGGCCAATGTGAGAAGGGTTGCTGATAAAAGATAGTGGAGAACGAGATAATAGGTACGTATGCAGATGAGATAAAAAATACTACATCCTGTCCCATTGGCAGCGAAAGGAAAAAAAGGCCAAAAAAAAGGAAAATTTTCTGAACCAAAAAGTTTGGATGACGTTCTAGGAAATACTTGAGCCAATATTATCAATCAATTTGTCGTCTTTGCTAATGAAATAAGACTACCCGCTCTCTCGGTTGTTTCTCAGAATCCCTTGGTTCATTTCTACCCTTGTGCTTCTCATCCCTCGTGCGATCGTATTCTCGGATCGTGTCCACCCCAACTCTTATGTCTTTGGGAAAAGTCTTCAGTCCTCTTCATCCCCCTGAACGTTCTGCCTTAGCTCGATCCTGGTAATTGCCACGATTATTTACAAGATTTTCTTCGAAGATTAAAGTAATGCAACTCGTTCAATCGTTGGATTCTCTGTTTAACACTCCAACTCCTTTCTCCTTTCCTTCGCTCGGTGGATTTCATACACTTTACACGTTGAGCAGTGTCTTCTTCAGTCCCCCCCGTCTCGCTCTCTCTCTCACTCTCTCTCACGTACCCCTATCGACACTTCGTTTAGCTTCAATCCGATCACAGAGAAACGAGATGACCGTTCAGGTGTAACTTTCGGATAATGGATATTGCTATTCAAAGTATCTCTCGCATAAAATGGTTTCCTGTATAGTGTTCATTCTTCCTTGGGGACTTTACAGTTTCCTTTTTCCTATTATCTTTTTTTATCTCTCACACTAGGGTTTTCGCGTATTTTACTAATAGGAATAGGGATATGGAGAGTGCAGGGGTGGTAGTTTATCCCAAGACATCCCTATAAAATCGCTTCAGATTTTTACTGTGAATCTTCTTATACTTATAGAGTTCTTTTAGTATTTCAGAATAGCCGCTTTGGAGGGTGGCAGTACTAGGGTACGTAATACTTTTCGTTGGCAATCCGTAATGTTTATTCGATCCTAATAAACAGCATTAGGGCATTAATTATAAAGGTGTGCGAATACCGACTGGGAAATGGGAAGCGTGCCGCAAGGGATCCCGCATCGCAAGGTATTATAAGTTCAGTTGAATCCTTCGTGGGAATAGGCGGCTTGCGACGAGAAACTCCCCTCTCCCTTTGCTCGCTCTCTCTCTTTCACACGCGCACACACACACACACACTCCCTCTCCCTCTACCTTCCCCTCTAGTTGTTCTTGAATTCCGTTCCTATTCCACACACATTCTCTCTCCCCCCCCCCGCCCGCTCCTTCTTCAGTTCCCTCCTAACCGTCTTCAAGTGTAATCCCTAAGCTTCTAAAAGGTACTCGGTCCCCTTTTGACATCCACCTTTATTCCATGGGCCAATTCTGACAGCAAACTCTATGATTATCATAAGAAATCTCTATTGTAATAGCCAATTGGATGCTGCGGAATAAAAGGTATAAGTAGATAGAATTGACGAATGCGAATAGAGGGGACAACGATGATTGTCAAGCAGAACAAGAAGAGTAGAGGAAATCACAGGGAAATTAGCGAAACGCGCGGCAGTTCGTTGATTCGTGCAAAATGAATTAGAGTGCAGCGAACTGAAGGGAGGCAAAGGGTTTGGTAAAGGACCTTGGTTGGGGGAGACGTAGTGGTGGTATTCGGCTGGGAACGTTGTTCCAGTGGCTAGTTGCAAAAGGGATGATGCTAGGTCAAACAGAGTGAAAGGGGGTTGTGTATTGCATTTTATTTTGTCGATGGGCAAAAGGGGCAGCTGGTATCCAACCACCATCGCCATTGCTAGGAGAAATGGAAGCGTCCATGCCAGACGAATAGGCACAGCTGGCAATTGGCACCCATCAATTATTGCCTGGTGCAATCAAACGTGCCCGTCGATGCGTATTCAATAATATTCATATCGTATCAAACACCGAGTCGATCTCGGGGGTTTGCGCAACATTTTTAACAAATAATTGGTCCATTGCGTAAAGCAATTTCGTAGCTCATTGCTCCTAGCGAGTTGCATTATGTGGCAAGCTTTCTATTATTGTCAACCTTCCACCCTCTTTATCTTCAACTAATTACTCCTACTGCCCCGCCCCCCTCTTCTTCTAGTCCGATTTCCAATTTCTGTCCAAATTTCTTGAACTTCTCGCTCGAAGGAATATTTTAGAAATTATACAGCGTGTCACAAGATACATGCTGTACAGTAATGCATAGAGTAAAATTATAAAAAATATTAAAATGTCCAGGCCTTCCATTTGATACCAAGGAACATCCTGATATCTGTTACGTAAGGCAGGTGCACCCTTGTGCCGAATTACATACTCAGTCCACCATATTGCTTCTTCCATTGGGTGATTCATTCTGTCATTAATATAATTTCGAAGTTCAATTACATTTTTTTTGTACCTGTAAAACAAGGGGTTTTTGTATGTATGTACCTTGGCATGGGTAAAGTTTTGAACATTTTTTTACCTTGGATTCTGGATTACTTCTAACACAGTCTTCTTCATGCTTTCTTTAGTCATAGAGCTTAACTCAATCTTTTGTCCAATCCCTAGGGATACCACATTATTAACGTTTGATCGCTGATCGCTGAAAACTGGAAAGCCCACTAAGGGAACTCCGTTATTAATAGCCTCCTCGGTACTCTGTTGGCCACCCTGATATAAGAATAGTAGAATATTTGAATGAGCTGTAAAGGAAAATATAAATAATCAATCCGATTGAAAACATTGTCGGTATGTTTCTCTGTATTTATTACTCTACCGAGAATATCTTGCTGTGGTACCCATTTTTCTAAAAATATATTTTTAGCTTTTATAGGTAAATCGTCGAGGTCACATTTCCATATTACCTTGTAAGGTAATTCAGCCAAAACATGTACGAATACGTTGCGATTTTCCTCGCTAAGCTGTGACAATTTAACATTTGAACCCAGACTAAAATATATAAAACCTTCTTTTGCATTGTCTAAAATATTTTGTAGTCTCTGAAACCCATACAAATTGATGAAGCAAATGATAACCTAATCAACTTCGTTCAAGATTAAATTTTACGTACCGGTGACATTTTTTCCCTCGGAGTGGATTTGTAAAATCGTAAACCTCCAATTAATTTAACAGATGGCATATCAGGGCGCGGATGATAAATCGGATATTGAGTGCTGGCAAGCAGTAAGCTGATATTCTTTGAAACGTCACGAATGTCAGGAGCATTGTTACCAAAATATTTTTTCAAAACCCTCTCCTGTTTCTTGAGATGAATAAAGTTAAATTCAAAAATCTGACGACCGTAACAATAAATATTTATTATTCTTTGCCAAAAATTCATGTTCACTGGCTGACCACCCATGACGTCAGGAATATATGATAGCAGTGGAGGATTTCCTATTAAATGGAATAAGTATCTAATACCTCAAAACCCTCAGATTAAAAAACATATAACGGACCACCCTAGTAGTTTCTATTTACCCATAGTGTGATGATGTATGCCAATAGGAGCCAGCGACGTCAATCCTATCATAGGAACATTCAGGATGCTGGATAAGGCGTGAAGAGCATCCACATAAAATATTTGTATGAGTATCAAGTCGAACTTTTTATCACTTTGTGGATTCAAAATTTTTTCCATCTCTGGATGACTCAGTATTGATTCAGAAAACAAGACACCGGCCCTATAACAAGCGTCGAAAAAGACCCAGAGCTCGCGATAGCTTGAATAATTGACAATCTCTTTCCAACCAGCAGCATATGCCTCCACGAGACTTATTTCAGTGAAATTAACTAGGCTAGTATCATTTGTAACTTTTGGTGTAAATATGACTAATTCGTGTCCCCTTCTGGATAGCTCACTGGTCAAGCTATGGAAGAATATCTGAGAAGTAAATAGTTCTGATTACTGACACTGAGTCTTATTAAATAAAGATGACATCATCACCTGATGACTGTGAGAAGGATGCGGAAAAATACCAAGAATACGTGCAGAATCAATGCGATTCAATAAAAATATTAATGACACCATGAGCACAATAACAATTCTCGCCATTTCAATTACTATTTTTTGACTCACTATAAACCGTACCGCACCATACAAATGATGGATACGTTTTGAGCAGTACAGTATTTCACGTATGTAATCGGTAATAGAAAACAGTACTGAATATTCAAATTGCTAATAGAGTTTGTTAAAACCCTAGATTGAGGAAAACGCGTGGCAAAGGCCTAGAACTCATATCGGAATGATAAATCATGTGAAATGATAATGCCAGTCTAGAAATACGTACTAGGGATCAAGTAAATACAAATCGAGCCTCCTGTAGATTTAATTTTACATTTATACTCGCAGTGGCTGCAACTGATACAGGTATATACTAATGAGCCAACATAGCCGGAGATATAAATAGAGTCAAGGAAAACAAGTATAGTGCATAGTGCATGTTCCACAGCAGGTATAGTCTCTGCAGCGTAGCATCGGGTCATTAGGCGATGGTGTCCTCGTTTTAGTATATCAATTGCGACAGTTTGTCCCATCAATGGGGACATATTACTATTGTCGTTTAAAACGGGACCATTGGCCTAATTGGTGGCAGGGGTAGCGTTTTGTTGACGCTGGTGGCTGCAGTTATGCAGTTTCGGTGCAACCACGCGTGATCTACGGTGCGCGACCGTCTGCACGCATCACAAAACCCGAAAGGGCTGCTGGTGCAGTGTGGTACAGGAGGAAGGGTGGTTCGAGGGTTTAGGTTCCCCTCTTTGGCAAAGGGTTGAAAAATAAATAAATATACGAGAGTGCAAGAGAGTCGAGTCGAGATAAAATTTGTAGGGAGTAGTTGAAATACAACGGGGCGGCCATGATGGATTTTCGATGTAACCATTTGACATTGGTAAACGGGGGCTGGCGGGGCAATTTTGTGGTTGGTTATAATAAATGTTAACTTTTCGAGGGTTTTCGCGAGGGATAAGGCCAGGGATGGATGAATCTAAAATCTGAAATGATTCAAATGAAATTGAGGGAGAAACGCTCTAGGGAATATATAAAAGGGCCGAAGATGAGGATAGTCGATATTCCTGGGGGATGATGGAGAAAGAGTCTTATTCTCTCTTGACTGCGGAGAAGAGATAGCAGGTATTATCGGGGAACTAATTAAACTAGAGTATAAGAAATAAAATAAGAGAGGCTATCGTTCTTACGATAGACTACTATCTGAGGAGAAGGAGGAGGTGGGATACTCACGATGGGGGAGGGGGGGAGGGATTGGGATGCTGGGACGCCTGGGCTGCTACCGTGATGCTCGGTTCCTGGGATGCTGCCCTCCTGGAGGCCGGGAAGTAATTAGGTTGGAGGCAAGAGATGTAGCGGATATTGTACCACGGTGCCTGTTACCTACCTTGCTAGACTTTCTCCGTCTCTCTCTCTCCCTATACTGCACAATCCTTCACTCTCTCTCTCTCTCTCTCTCTCTCTCTCTCTCGATCTATTTATTCCCTGTTCCATGCTCTGTTGCACTTACTCACTCTATGGTATATAGTTGTTGTTATCTAACTTAAATGAACCGAGGAATAATATCGTTAGAGGCGTTTCGGCTTCGCGCCTGATCCTTTACGTTTGCTACCCATTATCTTCAATGACAATGAATTCCAGTTAGGTATCGGGGTCTACTGTTATTCGTAGACTTTGATTTTTTTTCCACCAGAGCACACTAAGGACCATTCTGCAATATTGGAATTCGAGGATCTATACTGTATAATATTTTAATAAAACTACAAAACTAATAATTGCCAGAGGAGACAGAATCAGCAGAGCCAACACACAGGATTGAGTAAAACTGCGCAACGACGAGCAGCGTTTTCACGTCCCGCGACAATTACATTAAAAGTTTCTTTAAGAAAGAGAGAATGAGGGAGGAGGATATGATAATGGGAGAATAAGAAGAGAGAGGGAGAGAGAAAGGCGAAAGTCCATTTACGATCGCGAGGATAGCGGCTATGAGAGGCAGGAGAGCTAGGAGAAAGTTAGAAAGAATAAGAAATAGCGAGGATGTTCAAGATCCTCTCGCTAATGATCACCGACGGTTTTTATCTCATCAACCCTTAACGGTCCACCCTATTACCATTATTTAGTGCTCCTCCGTTATTACTCCCCACTGTCGTCTGTTAATTGTTCATTATATGCCTTTTGATTTTCACAACTCGTTATACTTATCGATTTTCCATAACTTCCGTACACTTAATGGTATAATCATTTGGCAATAATGTCAGCGAATCTTTAGCCACTTGTTCGTTCGTTCTCCTTCTCTTTTTCTTAAGTAGACTGTAACTTGGAATCCGTGACGTCTCAATGATCCTATAATGAAGTCTACGAGACTGGCAAGAGTGGCAGGATTCAAGTATAAGACGTCTGAGAGTATCAAACCGATAATCCAGCCAGAATACTTTAATCACGTCTATTCCAGAGTAACTCCCTCGTATTTACATATAATAACTATTGGTTTCGCCACGGACGAAGCGTCTAGCCATTTAATAAAAATCTTAAGATTCAGGGTATTGCAATGGCCAAGAAAAAAATAAAGCACAAGAAGGAAGTCTATGAGCTAATGAGATTGCATTGGTACGTATAATCGAAATGTAGCGAATAGATTATATGTATATAATCTCGAGAGAATTTCAACGAGGATGGTACTTTACAGGAATTTATACTGGAAAAGAGTCTCACCCGGTATCCTGCCAAGAGCGATTAATACGAGCAACGAGGGCGATAATATCGCCCGGTTATGAAAAATGCATTACTCGCGGTGTATTCCCTGGCGGAATTGCTGGAATTGCTAGGCTGGGCTGGGGCCAAACTTTCGTGGCTGAGAAGCGAGAGGAGACGACAGATCGGAGAAAAGGGATGAAGGAAGCTGCAGGGAAAAGGGTAGAAAGATTTTGGCATCGAATCGACAGAATGGATGCTGGACGAGCAAGACACGTCCGCATCTTCATCGTAATAATATTTAATCCGATCCATTGCTTGGAACAGGGGGAGTGCTTTTTGCTAAGGTCCTCAAAGTTTTAAGAAATTTTTCAAAGGGATTGTAAAACGTAGTACAGTTTGCTCTGTACCAAAATTTTCCTCCTTGAATTCATTTTGTTTTCCATCAATTTTCCACCAAGTCACTCGTCCTGTTAATTGTAAAATATTTCCGGTCTTATATATTGAACACTATGGATACTCGGCATCGATGACAGTTTGGCAAAGCTTTGGCAGCACAGGGAGTTGAGTAGCTATTTTGAAAATATGAGAGCTCCATGTAGACTAGAGAATCTCAGAGACAAGGAAACCGTACTCCCATATAACACGGTCCTGCGAGGGTCTATAGATTAATACATGCGGACCCATAAACGAGAGTACGAGATGCTCGAGCCGAAAACACACGAGTTTACAGTCTGGTGCTTCCGCCTTTGTTTTCTCGCAAATTTCAGGCCAATTATGTTGCGTTTGCGGTGCATCCTCACCGCGGCGCTCGGCTGCCTTCGCGTCTTTGTGCCGGGACGCCGACGTTGAGAAGTTGTAGAAGCGTCTACCGAGTTTTCCCTCTAACAAGTCCTTCGACAAATCCAGTTTTATCTCGGTAGGAAACTGTAACCCATACTCTAACGACCCATGCTCTGCTGTAATGGGTCAGAATAGAAGAAAGAGAACTAAAAAGAACCAAGCCCACTACGGATCACCGTCGATATAGACTACTGCCTGTATTGAGCGCCTGTAGGACTGTGACCATCCATACCTCGGAGTAACAAATAGACAAGAGAAAACAAATTCAAGAGATGCGAACGCAATGAGTGATAAGAAGGAAAAGCACAGCTTTCAGGGGCGTCGCTAACCCCTAGGGCTTCCAGTAATATATCCGACGATGCTAAGGATTCTCAGGACCTCCATAGGACATTGTTACTTGTCGATGCTCGACAGATATTTTTTTACGTGCGACCTCGCCGTTTCCACACAATCGTCGTGATTCGTCAAACTGAATAAAAATATGTATTTTTGAGTAGTTACCCTGCAAAATGGTTTTCTCGTTCTCCTCTTCCACGAAGAGGAAACAGTAAGGTGAAATATATTATTTCCAGCATATATCCACTACAACATCCTTTAGACTTATTGGGCCCTGCGACACTCTATAGCTGTTGAGATAGAGAGCTTGACAAATTGTGTTCACAGAGACTCGTCGGTATATCGGCGCATAGATGGGCTCCATATATATTGCAGATTGAGCATTACTGCGGGGCATATTGCTCTCAGGTCCAAAGAATTTTTCCGTATTTTCTTGAGAAAATGAAATAGGAGAGTGATAATAGAAAAAATATTCGCAGGATAGAAATCCAAGAGATAATCTCCCAAAGGTGAATTCTATTGGGACCTCATAGTTCTTATAAGTTCCGTTAGGAGACAAATACCAAAGGACATTTTCAAAACGACACTTGGGTATCTTGCTCTGCAAAAATATCCCATATATGTATGTATGCGCATCACGATGATAGAACTCACGCTGAAGACCCTGGAGCTAAAAGTGAATATGGGAACGTGTCCAAACGTGAGCTCGTTGGTTAAATCCGTGTGCGGTGGAGTATTTGATATTGTGGCGGTGCAGTGACTGCGGTAGGCAGAGCGCCATGAGCCAACCCCACTGTTTACCATATAGATGACTCGTTAGCCAATGTTAAATTACTGTATTTGCCTAGTCCAGATTTATCATTCATACCGCGGGCCAATCTACACGCGCCGATAATAAGCCAGTTTCATCTCTCGGTTATATTCTTGATATGCATAGCTAACGATTGTGCTATGATATTCAAACTCTATATATAATAGGTATCAGTTACAATTTCATTAAAACACGTTAATCACTACTAGACTCATTAGGCTTATCATATCGGAGACGTCTTGGTCCAGGCATTCGCTAGTTTTACCTGGAAAGTTATCCGGGAGTTTTGAAAATTTTTATGTTTTGCAAAATCCGAGAACGAACTATCTTCGAGAACCAACCTACGTTACCTTCGGCCGTCCACCGCTTCACTCACATTTAAATGAAAAAATTCAGTGCGTTACACCCTTTCATTAATTAATCAACCCTCTTTTATTAG